GTGGCGGGCCTTGGACACGGTCAGTGCCACAGACCTGCGTCGCCTGGCTGCGCTGGCCCTCTTAGGTTTGATGGAGGTGGGTTTGACTAGATCTTGTAAAGCCCTCATTTCGAAAAAATGCCAACCTATTATACCCACCCCGCGGAGATAATAAAGGGGGCAGAGTAAGTCAATGAACCTCTGCATGAAATAGTTCGATATCGCTATCATAGCAGTATACCCCGGCACATCGAGGGTTCGCGTGCACCTTTCGTCTTCTCATCTCCCGGATTCAGTGGATCTTATGTGACATGCGCACATTCCTCCCATTGTTTGAGGCTTAAAGCCTGCCCCTTTTCTGCATTTTGCGGATTTGGTGTGAACTACGTTCTCCCTATTTTAAATAGAGTATGGTTTGGTTTGGTGTCTAATTCCCCCCCTCCTTTTGCACAGGATTTTGCGATGTTGCATCCTTGGCTTGGGACACCAAACGCGAAACCAACATTTTTGGATAAGGAGCCAGGGATACTTAGAATCCCAAAATACCCAATGGCTCCTTTCCAGCCATGATGTTCGATGGAAGCGTTGGGAAACCAATAGTTGCACACCACGCATTAGTTGTCCGGTCCAAGTCCAACCTCCTTGATACATACCCGGAGGCATCAAAGCATGGTGCTCATTTTGGGTCATTCTTTTTTTTGGTTTGACACCTACCCATCAGATTCGATTCAGTCCTTGTGACATACCCAGTGGAAACCCACACCAGGCATCAAGTGCGAGCTCCACGGGGTGCCGGTGGACGGAGGCCTGGAGCGCCACGACTTGCTGCAGCTCTTGAAGGACGTGGCGGTTTGGGAGGCCATGCCGCGCCTCGAATTGGAGTTTAAGCGCGGGGGAGGGGCGGGGTCTGGGTCGCGAGTCGCAACCCTCCAAAACGGTGGGCTTCTCTTGAAGGAAACCCAGAAAGAGTAGCAAGAACCCTGCATGGCAACAACAAATGCACGCCCAACAGTGCAGGCTTGGGAGGTTCCGTGGGCGGGCTTCCCCCAACCTATGCCTGTTGCATTTAAACAACCTGGTCTTTTGGTGTCCCTGGTGATTAAGCAAATGGGCGGCTGACCCAGGTCCCTGCAAGAAATGGATCTCAGGTATCCTACCACAGGTATTGTAGAAGGGTGCCTTCCTCGTTTCTGATTTAGATATCAATGATATCACATGTTGGCGCCAATTTTAAGCAGCCAGAGTCAGTTTGCTGCGTTTAAAGGGGAAACATCGGTTATATAGAAGCCTGTTGCATTGTTTTAAAGTTCTATGTATGGTCCTACAATTTGACTGATCAGCTTGATGAGCGTGTTTGGAGGTCTCAAATTGGGGAAAGACCATTTGTTCGATGTGATTCCATCCGGCGCAATGAGATACTCGGCACCAGCACCCGCAGAAGGAAGATTTGACAATGGCACATGTCTATGAACTCCTACTTGCTAAACACAGGGTCCGCCATCTCACCATTGTAGGTACTTTATCAAGATCTTCTCTTTGGCTCCATGCTAAAAGGGTATATCATGGGGCGGGGTCACGTTTGGAGTGGCAAGGGTAACCTGGTGTGCGTGCGGACAGGTTGGGGGCAAAGAGGACGAGCGCAATGCGGGAAGAAACCCTGGCAGTCAAGAAAGCTCTTCAGCAAAAGTAAAAGGCGTGCAGTCTCCATTCAGAATTTCTTCGCTAAAATCCTGCTAGTTGCATTTGGCTGAACACATGAGTGATGAGTGATCAGTAATGGGCAGGTTTTGCGGCCTGGCTCTGTTTGTGGCATTCAGCTAGGCCTGCCTTTGCAGCCCCCACCGAACTCCCCATCCCTGGGGCCACTTTGCCGAGGCTTCACGAACTGCAAGTTGAGATGAGCAAGGCAACTGGTCCTGCCAGCCGTTGTGAGGGCGACGAGTGGAGCAAGCAGTGCCAACTCGTTGAGCAGAGACTCGGTTGAATGCTGTCGATTGGGCTTGGGCGTGGGGATTCTGAGGCTGACTTGCCAAGCATCGGGGCGATGCCCAATGTTAACTGCTTGGTTTGCCAGGAGGCCGCACACACCCTACAACAAACGTGGAAGGGCAGAGACCGCTTGTGGAAGACAACTTCACTTCAGGAAGTGAGTCTGTGCACGTTCACGTTTGGGAGTCAGACATGCTGATAGCGTTCTTGCGGCATACGAGAGAGGCGATGCAACTTCAATAAGTGTTGCTGCGTAGTTGCCTGATTGAGGACCTGCGCCCATGTCCAGTAGTGGAAGTTCCAAAGTGGAACGGACATGGCACTTTAGCCTTTTGCACGGCTTGCTAGCCCCTTATTTCGGACTTATTTGCCCTTAAGTGGTATGGTCCAGGGATTGGCCGGTGAAACCTTTGATAAGATATGACAAAAGCATCGTCAAAGATCTGAAGGTTGCATGCCTAAGACCAGTTTCCTCCTCCACAAATTGTGCGCCCGTTTGGCCCCATTCGTTCAGTAGCACCCAAAATGCTCAACCCCAAACCGTGTTCTCTTTTCTAACCACCCCAACATCCAAAGTGGCATTTTCCGATGTTTTACCCTCCCAACTAAAACTTTCATCCTGGAAATGCAGGATTCCTGGAGAAAACCATTTTCCTCCAGAGAACCCCTCTGGTTTCCATGTCCGCCGGGGTGCCAAGGCTTCTCCTGCGCCGCTGCGCGGACTTCTACGAGGACAAGGGCATCCCGGCGCGGCGGCTGGGTTCCCTCAAGGCGCGCGGTGCCTTTTTCGCCTTCCGCTCGAAGCCTTGTGTTTATCACCTGTGAGGCACAAACCGAATATCAGTGGGCACCTTTTTCGTTGCCTTGCTGAGTCAAGACCCTCTGGAAGCAACGGCAGAGAGAGAGGGAGAGAAACCGGGGGAAAAAAGAAACACAGCAGACATGTTTTTTTTGGTGACCCTGAAGTTGGCCAAAGTTCTGCTGATTTTTATGGTCCTCCCTTGTTTTCCGTGTGTTTCGTGTTTTCCTTATGTCCATCTCCTGTTGGGCCTTGGCGGGTGATGTTTCAAGGAGACATATACAGGACCCTATGTGTGGAATGGGACGAGCGTGATGCAAAGGCGTTCCTGTTAAGCATAGGGGTTGATAAATTCAGGGTTTTCCCCAGCTGAACAAAGAGTTGTGGGCCAACCACTGCGTATTCTGGGGTGGTAGCCATTCCTGAAGTCGTCTTTCCTTTGCTTGCAAGATGGCATGCTTTGCGTTTGTGTGGCAGAATTGGAGGTCAAACTGCGCACCCCGCAGTTCGACATGGCGGGATGAAGGGAACCAGGGCGCTGTTTGCCACGGTTTTGGGGACCCTGCCAGGCTGCCGCCAAGTTGGCCAAGGAGCTAGCAGACCTTGACGGGATTGACATCAGCAACTTGCCTCAGGGGCCAATGCCCGAAACGCCATGTGGTGTTTGGTCTCGTAGGTTGCGTTGGACTTGGCATGATTCAGAAGAGGCCTGCATAAAAGGCCGAACCCAGGTGCCATAAGCAGGCATTCAACATGACGAAGCAAAAGGGTTAACTAATGTTACTTGGAAGCTTACTGCCAGGCGCCTGCGACTGGCTTGTTCAGCCCACGACCTTTCCAACCACCCGTTATCCACTAGTGCTTGCCTTTTGACCTTGTTGGAAAATCAAATCAAAGAAACTGTCTTGGGGGTGCTTGACTCTGCAAAGGTAATCTCGCGTTCATCGAAACCACGAAAATCAATAGTATATCGAAGCTGTTTTTGACAGGGAGTCCATTGATTTTCACCTCACAATTGGTGATCCCCAAAAAACGGTTGATTTGCTCTTGGTTCCCCTTTCAAACCCAGCCAAAAGGATTCCCCAAAAACAACTGGCAAAAAAGGCAAAAGATGGGCACACCCCAAGCAGGTCTCCCCCCCCAACTGGGTATGGGTCAAAATTAAACCACCAGGGAACTGCAGGTTTTAGTCATTGGTTCTATTTACCAGGGTTCCGTTTTGCGTACCGTTTCTTGACGAACAGCCAACTGGGGTACCCGTCTCACTCAGCTCGAAGGCAGCCTGAAGGCAGAGTGCCGACGTCTGGGCGTGCCGGCAGAGCACCTGCAACGCCAAGAGCTGCCGGGGGCCTTGCAAACGACCCGGCGCCGCGCGGGTTTTTAAGGTAAACCCCGGGCGGACACATGCGGGGCAAATTACGGATCCCCAAGGCAACAAGCAGATATAACGAGCAATGAGTACGTGAAGGGTTTCTTCAGGGGAGTTGATACACTCACCATCACGTTATCCCCATGCTTGCCCCTGTGCTCACGTATCCCTTACAGGTAATTGGTACCCCATGAGAAGGCGCCCTGAAGAGTCCCTACTCGTAGTCAGGCCCCAGAAGGTCCATCTTTTTATGCCCAGGTCTTTGGGCACCCTCAAGAATTAAATCAGACCCAGCCACAGGCACTTCAGCCCCCAAGGAAGGGGTGTCACAACATCCGCGTCGAGGTATGGTGTAGGGGTTTGTGGAGGAAACCTTTTAAAAGAGTGACGGCCCTTTGGGTTGATCAAGTTGGGGGTGATCCTAGCTTGGGGCCTTGCATCGCCAGGTGTTGCATAGGCCCGCTGTAAGAAGTGAAATGCGGGTTACTCAAACAAATGATGGGCGGTTCAAAGCATGTTGATAGCTAAGTCCGTGGGAAGGCTGTTTTGGCGCTTACTATTTAGATTCATTGCTTGGAAAAGAAACCTTAGAGGAGTCAAGCAACCGTATTGGGTGCTACTTTGCGGATGTTCCCCCAGTGTGCCCCTATCTCTGACAACTTCCCAAGTAAACATGACATCCGAGTTGTCAATGTGGAGGGTCAGTGAAGGGCAATGCTTAGCATGCTCCACCTCAAAATGGGCACATGAATAGGTACCCTATGGTACCCTGCAAAGCGCCTCTTTTGAAGATGAGTTTCCTTTTGTCAAAGGCTTGGATTACGGGAGGATCTCTGGGCCTCCTAGAGGCAGGCGCGACCCCACACCACCCTCAAAGGATGCACAGCTGATTTAGAGGACTCGAATTCTGGACTCGAATCCTGCAAGAGCAGCCGACTTTTGGATCTATCCTTTCAAGTTGAACCCTCTTTGTTGCAACCCCTGGTAGAGGGGTGGCTTTCGGATGCATCCCACCGGTCCGTGCCCTGAAAAAGTCCCAAGGCTGGACCTCTACCGAGAGATGGCGCTCTGGCACGCGCTCCCAGCCGCGGAGCTCCGTCTCGAGTGCCGCGCGCGCAATGTCGCGTGCCCCCAGCCGCAGGCCCGGGGGAAGAGCCAAAGCCGAGTCGGGACGGGCGAAAGCCATGCAGGTTCTGGATTCCGATGATTCCGCTCTTTGCTTTTGATTGTGTTGAAATCATTGCAGAATGTAAGGACTTCTGGTTGATGAAAGGAACTTATTTTTCATCTTGGCTTTCTTTCTTGTGCTTCTTCTTTCGCTTGGATTATATACATCATTTGAAACAAGGGTACTCTTCTAAAACTCGGCACCTGCTTTTTGTGTTCGAAAGGGAGCCAAGAGATGAGAGGACGCAAACCTTTCTCAGGTTTGTTCAAAGTTGCAAACGTGGCCATTGACTGTTCTGTGCCGAGCGTCAGCAGCTCATGTCATGTGGCATTTGCTTGCACCTGTGTCCCTCATCGCGAAAGTGAAGTAACCGTACCATACGTTGCCGCTCCGCGAATGTCCATGTCCCATGTAAAACACGTTCCGCAACTGGAGTATGGATGACTTGTTGAGTAGAAGTAAGTTGGTATGCTGCCTTTGTAGCCTAATGTGCTGCATTCGGATCGAAGCCTTTCACCAATTGCTGTGTACCACGCCCTGATTGAGCGGTATGTGTGTGTGTGTGTTGAAAGTGCCCCGCTTTTGGAGCGGAGGCATGTTCACTGAGTTTGATTGCCAGCGAAGTCATTCCTTCTCCATCCGGCAAGCTCGAACATGTGTTCAGGCTAGGCACAGAAGATGCTAAGAGGAGGCGTCGGGGAATGCGCACGCACATCATCACGTGCTTTCAAGGCTTGAGCAGCTGACTGATCACCAGCAGCCGGAAAGCAACATGTGAGGGATGCTCTTGCCTGTCTTTGCCTATCTTTGCCTAAACTTCGTTGGATGCTGTTGGGGTCATGCTCCCCCATTTTGCACGGACTTCTTTGGGGCGGGGCGCTTCAGTTCGCGGAGAGACGGTGTTCATCTGCTTAAGCACATGTCGACCCTTTGACCTGCGTAGCCCGGCTAGCCCTTGTCCCGCCTTGTGGTGGCTTTTTGGACACCATATTGGAAAGGCAATTCAAAGGGAATCTTAGGAACCGCCTGGCCATTGGGCCGCATTGCCAGGGTTTGGTGGTGGAGCAGGAGATGAAGGAGCTTCTCGTGGACGCCTTGCTGGTGCCTTATCAGAATTTGCTCCGCCGGCAAGAGGTTAACGCATAGAACCGCGGGCCTGGGAGGGTGAGTCTTTCGGAGCCGGCGGAGCCGGAAGGCGGAAGTTTCAAAATACAAGAACTTCAGTTTGGAGCAAGTGTTCTTGTCTCTCTGTCTCTCTCTCTCTGCCCCTTTCTCTTCCTATTTCTCTAGCTCTCTCTCTCTTCCTCTTTTCCTGCTGCTTTCCCATTCCAACTTTGAATAGATCCCAGAAGCGTATTCGTTTCACAGCAGGTTAGCCTGGACTACCGTACCGCCACGCTCGCTTCTGCCAAGCCCATCCCCCCCCCTCCCCATCCCCCCCCCTATTCCCCCCCCCCCCGCCACCCCCATCCCCCCCCCCCCCCCCAACAGAACTGGCTGCACCGCTTGCGCACCGCTTGCGCACTGCTTGCGGACCGCTCGCAGGTGGAGAAGTGCGAGGCCTGGTACGAGCGCCGGGGCATCCCGGTCCGACTGCTGGGCAGCGTGCTGAGCGCCCAGCGGGTGGCGGAGCGGTGGGAGCAGCTGGAGAGCCTCAGCGAGGGCGGCTTGCTCTTCAAGGCGGAGAATGGGATGGCGAAACCAGGGGCTTCCTGTTTGCCCCACGTGAACCAGACCTCAAAGTGTCCTGGTTCTTCGGCAAATTTTTAAAGTGAGCTAGCATCTCGTTGAAGTCGTTTCCCTGATGCTCACCAAAGACTTGGCAAGACTTCGCCTTTGGGGGTCCGGCTGTGCTTTCGCCTGGAGACTGCCCCCGTTGGGAACAGAATTGCAGCCGGCCAGAAGAAGGAAGCAACAGTGTTGAAGCAAGCGAATGCGAAGCAAGGGTTTCTTCCATGTTGAAAAGCTGCGAGTTGTTGCCAACGGCTGGGTTGTTTTCAAAGCGCCATGCGCCTTAGGCAATTCGGGGCATGCATGAAAATGAATAACGCTGAAGTTTGGGCAACCCTACTGTAGGCGGAGGCTGCATAAGCCGTTTTGCTTGGTAGTGGCAGTAAGGGGAGTCGATGCAGCGCAGAAGCTTTGGATATGGACTCCTGGACCCTTTGTTACTAATCCCAAGGTGTTGTTGGAGCTCTTACACCCCTAACACGAGGTGTGTGACACGAGGTTGGGTCGACACAAATTGGTCGGGCCCCCAGTTGGGGACCGCGGCTCCGGCTGGCAGGCCTCTGCCTTTAGCATCCACGTGGAGAAGGACTGCAAGAACTCGGAGGCCGATGCGGTCGAGTGGCGGGGTGGTAAGTGATCCATGTTTGGTGTCCCAAAAGGGAAGCTAAGATTCAGCAGGGGCGAGGGAATGTGCTGAGTTGTCCGGAATTCTTAACTAACATGTGGATGCGCATGCAATGCCAATAGGGGCTGGAGCGTGGCCGTACTTGCCTGAAATACAACAATTTCGTTACAAGTGAGGTTCGCTGCTTTAAACAGATACCTTCCTCATTTGCAAGGTTTTCGTTCCGCATGAGCTGCGTGTGACTGCTCTTGGGATATGTCAACTCTTGTCTCTAGACCTTTTTAATGCACATGGCTGTCACAGATCTTCTCCAGGAATAGCACAGGCGCAGCTTTGAACATAGCTGGTCCCGCACGCTTGCGCCCGTCTATGCCAGGTCATCGATCGGGTGAAGCAGGCAATGCTTTGGAGCGAGCTGCCCTTCCGAGAACTGCAGAAGGTTTGCCGACAGCACGGCGTAAATTCGGTGTGCGCACCCAGCCAAAAGAAGGAGATGCCTGACGGGATCAAAGGGCAGTCATGGCTCAAGTTGTGGAACAGACTCTTAGGCAGCCAGACTTTGCACGTCTAATGATAATCCTGGCTTAATGTACCTGGCGGATTAGTGTTTCTTTACGAAGTGATCCCGATCTTCACAAGCTGGGGTGCACCCCCCCAATCAACTGTGGGTTTCATTGCCAGACTTGCCTTTTTGAGTTTGTTTTCCTGAATGTGTTCCCTTTCACCCAGCACTCAGTTAACTTTTTGCGCATTACACAGGATGGCCTTTCCAATAGAATTGTCTTTACAAAGTCAGCTAATATGTAAGCACTATCTATTGATATGAGTTGAACTCGAACTTGCATTTTAAAGCTGGAATGGAATTGTACTTAAGAATTCCTTTCAACAAAAGCAAATCCACTGGATCAGCCCTGCCCAAACCCAACAAAACACATTCTCCCGGAGCTCTTGGCACTTTGAGCGGCCACCTCTTGAAAAAGTGTATGAGGAATGTGTTGTTGGGCATGTTTTGTTTTGTTCTTGTTATTTTTCTCTTCAAGATATGTCGTTCTTGTTTGGCTTGGGGCAAGGCTACTCCAGAAGAAAAGATTGTCTGAGAATCGTCGTTTTTCCGATTAAGTTTTCTTGTTCTGCTTTTGTTTTGTTGAGCTTTGCTTGCCGTCCCTTGCTCTCCCTTGCTTTCCCTTCGCACCCGTTCTGCCACAGATCAGGCAGTCGGTCGTTGTTACCTTGCTGGTTTGCACATGTGTTGCTGCAGATGAGTGCCGTTTTTGAGATTAAGGTTGCTTTATAGGGAGACACTAACAGCCTGCAAATCCTGGCTTACCCTATTACAACAAAACTTGGTTTTGTCAGGGTTTTGTCAGAGCTCAACCCAGCCCTGCAGGAGCTGTTGCACCGGCTCACTTCCACATTGTGGGCACCACCTCCGCCGCCGCCCCCGCCACCACCAGAGCCTCACTTGCATGAGACACCCTTCGTGGGGTGTTTTTTTTACAGGGAAGGCCACGGCCACCGTTTTTGAGCTATGTTGACACACAACCAAGTGGAACCTAAAACGCGCTCATTCTTGGAGGCACGTTCCAAAATGGGGTGTGTAGCTATTGCCTTTGCACATGTCGGCCCATGCTTGATTTTTTGGAGGCCAAATTCGATCACCTTTGCATCAGTGGCCGGTTTGGGTCCGTTTGATTGAAAGCAGACGGCGTTGATTTCAGTTTGGCTCTCATTTGCCAGTGCGGTCTACTTGTCCGAAGGGACAGTTGGGTCAGCTTTTGTTTCCACCTTGGGCAGAGTGAGGAGCCCAAGCCCCGAAACTTCGACAACTTCGGCAGCCGCGACTGGCAGCGCTTTTCTGGCAACGGCTTCAGCTTCAATGGACAGGGGGGTTTTAAGGGCAACGGCTACGGCTACAAGCAGCCCAACGGGAAGGCTGGTGGTGGTGGTGGTGAAAAAAAATCGCGGTGACTGGTTGACACCCTCTTTGTTGGCCCCAGGGAATCCTCAAGATAAAGCGATGAACCAGTCCTGGTTGCATGGGATCAGCATCACAGAAGGGTTCAAGCTGTTCCCACCACCATGCTAAAATAGTTTCCAACATCACCCAGTTGTAGCGGAGTCCTTTTGGCCCCTTTGTGGGGCTCCTTGTTAAGCAGAGTAATGCCTCAGGCGGGCTGGTTTTCCTATAGGCCTCCTAAGCCTGCCCAAAAAAGCAAGGGTCCTGTTATTGTCCCTGACGGGCCACCCCTGCCACTTTTGTGAGGTTTGGGCCATAGGGTGTCTCAAAAAAAGCGGTCCTCCAAAAATAAATTTTGTGGCCTTTTGGGTTTTTGCTCTAGATTTGTGGCCTTCTGGCTTTTTGTGGCTTTCCCTTTTGAATCCACCAAAGGTCTCCACCAACTTGAAAAAAGCCCCTGGCTGCCCCTCACGGGTCCCAGGCCACGCAGAAGACCCTGGTGCCGTATTTCAAGACACTGGGCCTGGCTCCCAACTCGGACGCCGCCGCGGTGAAGAAGGCCTACCGCAAGCTGGCGCTGAGATCTCCGGCCCAAGAGAAAAGCGCCGAGGGTGTCCCGAAGGTTTCTAGAAATGGGTCCCCTTTTTTTTGAGGGCGCCTTATAATAATATATACATATATATATATATATATGTGCGTGTATGTATATATTTATATTTTTCCAAACCCGTGGGGTTTAGCCCCATAGCAGAGGGTTGCCTAGGCGATGTTCAAGGGGAAATGGAAGGAAATTAATATGGCATGTATCACTGTCCGGCTGGGCCGCACGCTGGCAAGGCAGTACCCGGTGCGACATGTACTTTAGGGACACAACGCCCATGTTTAGTGGTCCGATGCCCTTGTTTGAGACACATCCACTCTTCTGATTTCGTTTGTGATTGTTCAAATGTTTGTGTTTATGCATTTCTGAGGCTCACGCAATACGGAGCTGAGATAATATGATATATTATATTATGTCAGGCCATGTTATAGTATGCTATTGTATTTTACGTGTTGGTACATTTATTGATTTATAAAGAGGCATGCTAAACTAAACAATTCATATATTTGGCCATTTGTTTGTTGATGCATTTATTGTTTCATGTGTTCATGTGTTTAGTACTTGTTTGTTTCGTATTTTTTTGCACTTGTTGTATGTTTTTGTCATAGGTGTTCCGAGTTTTCTCCTGAATTACTCACTCGTTTGGTTGTTTTCTTGTGTGTGTGTTTGCTTTTTGCTTTGTTTTGTCTGTTTGTTCATTCAAGATTTCAACTGATTGTCTTTTGAACAAGTGAGGATACCACCCGGACAAGAACCTGGAGGCATCCAAGGACCTGGTGTTGGCATTGCCAGGGGTAACCATGCGGGTTCACCTTGGCGTTCCAGTTGGGTGAAAATAGATGGCATAATTCCCCCTCCCCATTTTGGTCTAGTCATCAGTCATCCCCTGAACTCACAAGAGGCTTGTGTCATCTACTTTCACCCTGGTGACGTTTGTGCAAAATGAGACACATGGAATTGGGACCCCCAACCCCTGTTACGGGTTGCCAGCGCAGAACATGCAGGGATCTGGCATGTGAATCGGCCGACTTGTACCTTGGGCAACACAACAACATGATGTAAACCGGCCAGCAACATATTCTGGAAGAAACATCCTGCAGGAAGAAGCGTCGCAAAGGTTCCGGGAGGTGGCTGAGGCCTATGCTGCCATTTCCCAGTCCATGGGCGGCGGATGAGCGCGAAAAAGACAAAAAGTGCTGCGGACAGCGGGCTGGTCGCGTCAGCTGGGTTGTTTTCCGCTTGTGATGGAAGAGCCGCAGCCTTGCTCCGTCACAAAAGCAGAGCCGCAGCCTTGCTCCGTCACAAAAGCAAGAAGCGTTATGCGCCGTCCAGATTCCGCCTAATCTATGTTGTTTTCCAATGTGTTTCAGCCAAGTTGGCATGCCAGGCGATGCGGCATCCCAATGATTTGTGGGTTGCAACTTCCTGCACAATGCATGTTGGGAAAGGACCGTGTTTTTTTTTTGTGACTGCTGCCTGTGTTACGAACCAAAGTTGGCCGCCAGGAAACGTTTAGGGTGCATTTGTTCCATTGGTTGGTTTTCGGCTTTTGCTCGGTTTGCTTGAGTATTTTGATTGTAGGGCCTAGATGGTTTGCAGAACTTGATGGAGGATGATCAATTCTCACAAGGAGGGCTTGCATTTGAAGTACAAGCGGCTTGCTTGCCAGGGGTAGAGAATCAACATGACCATCATTGTAGCAGCACCGCAAGCTTGAATCATGTTGGCTTGACATTCAATCAACTTGACATGCATTCAACTAAAGAGTGTTTGCAGAATGGATAGATCAGGCAGCTTGCGTCCAAGGCTCGGAGCTGTGCTTCATTCCGCATTCTCCGTCCCTGGGAGAAAAAAACAAAAAAACAAAAAAAAACAAGAACTTGCTTCTTTCTGCCTTGAATTTGTAGAAGGGATAGGCGGCTTGCGCAGCCTGCCGGGACAACTAAACTCCATAGAAAGTGGATCGAGTTTGTTCACATCGCAGGCGCAAAGAATCGCACCCACGGGAACCCTGTAATGCTGAGCTGTTGCGGGGTAATCCTTGATCCGTACCTTGGGTTCAAGGGGTGTTCTTGGAAGTAGCTTCCCTATATGGATTATGGGTTAGGATGGGCCAACCCTCTATTTTGAACAGTTCTCGGGCAAACGTGTGGGCTTTCTGAATGTGGGCTATCCTGCGCTGAAGATGCTGCAAATCGTTGGCATCGGCAGCCAGAAGAACCTACTTAGAATGGGGCTCGGTGTTGCTGTCATGACCAATACGTGGTAGCTTTGTGCACTTCGAACTAAATTCGGCAACAGATGGAGAGACATACCGCAGGGCGCTTGGGAAGATCCGGAGATGTCCTTGCTGACGGGGGTTTGCCTTCTGGATGACAGGCCGCTTGGCGGGTGCGAGCCAAACGAAGACTGGTTCCTGGATGTTCCTGGCTTGTTTTTGGTGGATCCTTAGATCTTTTGGACATTCAATTGTTCATTGGGCCTCCAAACATTCAAGCCATCAGCCTATCAGGGGTATTGCAACATGGGTGGGGTTCTCTACAAAGAATCAAGAGGACCGATACAAAACATGGCCCCTTTGAAAAACTTTGGAGTCATGTCGTTCGCTGTGTGGCATTTTTTGGGTGGTTATTCCCCATAACGTGGGGTTCGTGAGGGACCATGATAAGTGGTGTTTTTTTTTTTTGTTTCTGCTTTGCGGCGGAGAACCCCAAAAACAGGAACTCTCAAGATGTGCTGTTTGTTTTAATGTGTGGTAAAATGACGTCCTGCATTGGCGCAGGTTGATGCCGCACAGCACATTGATGTTCGTGGCAACTCCGCTTGGCCAGTTCAGTTGGCCACACTATCTCAAATGAGGCCTGTTTCTGGATAGCTGAAGCCTGGCCAACAAGGTGCTCCTTACCCGCTCGAAAGGCAACGTTAAAAAACCAGGCACCCTCCTTGGCCAAACATGGAAAAGCCTCTGTCAGAAGGCAGCTTTTTGGAGAGGAGCCTGTGCACTTTTCTTTGGGTTATTGGGAGGGTGGAAGCTCGCACCTTTTGTGCCTGCGTGTAGCTGCATCAGTTTGACAGGATTATTTGAGTGACACAAGTGTTCTCTTTCTACACTTGTGTAAAAAGAGGGTCGGAGTGAGGATTTGTCTGTTTCAGAAAGCCTCCGCACCTTGTTTTTTCCACCAAATCCCCAAGTGCTGTCCACAGAGCTGTCGCTGGGCGCCATGGGTCTTACAGGCAGCCGCTGTACAACTACTGGACCTTCTCCGGGGAGCCTCTACTGGTGACCCTGGTGGCGGGGCAAAGCGCCGAGGTCATGGTGCAGTATGGCCAGGCGCGGCCGTTCGCAGTTCCCAGCTGAACGATTCGGGGATCTCTGGTGTCGCTTCTTCGCCTTCTTCAATGAAGGGAGGGAGAGACACATCGACCCCCAAGATAAGGGCCATGTGCCCTATTTGCCAACAGCCATCAGGAAGTCTCACAAGAACCGGCATGTCCGAAGTTAGTTTGCTCGGCTGGGCTCATGCTTTGGGTGTCCCAGGGAGGTCGCGTTTCATGTGGTGCCCGGTGAATGATTGGAGGTAAGAAACCAGATCGGCTTGGCTGGGAGGTGCGAGGACGGCCATTCGCAGCTTCTGTTGTCCTGATCTTTCCTGACCATCGGCGGAGCAAACTAGGCCCAGTGGATGCTCTGGTTCCGTTTTCTTCGTGGCAAGTTTGTGATGAAAGGGCAAGTGCCTGATCATTTATGAAATCGATTCACCGATCGCAGCTGTGCCTAGCTGCTGAGGGATAGCTATGCATGTTGATCCGTTGCAGCGAGCCCCCCCGAGGAGAACATCGCAATGTCTGTGTCTTCTTGGACCACCGCTGGCCTTCTCAAGGAGCCACCGCATGGATGAGCAGAAACCGTGTTGGATGTGCGGCAATTGAGAGGGGCTAGCTGTGTTTATTGCTTCCGGTGACCTGTTGCCTCAGTTCAGATACTGTGCTTCGACCTACATCAGCTCGTGCAAAGTAAGCCTTCCTTCAGGCAGTTTCCGGCTTTCTTGCCGTGAGGGGCGGGGGTTTTGGGGGCCTCCCCTGGCCCCGCCAAACTCGGCTCGCCAGGATCAGGTCTGCGATGATCTCGGCCTGGATGCGGGTTCCGCCGTGCTGAGCCTGGTCTTGCCCCGCGAGGCTGGGGAAGGGCTTGAAGCCGGTGCCAGTGCAACCGTGCAACCTCGCAAAACATGGAACCTGAAAGGAGCCCCCCGGAAGACATTTTTCACACAGGGACCTTTTAGGTTTTTTTGTTATGTTGTTTCTTTTTCGCGGGAGTGTTTGCTTGATCACCTGTTTAGGGATGAGCATGTGAGCCCTCGGGTCAGACAACCGCAGTACCCGCACACTGCGACCCTTTGTGAAACCGGAGCCTGGGTCCATCTCCTGAAACATGCGGGTTTGCAGAACCCCTCCGTGGATACTGAATGTGTATTTTGCATTTCGGGGAAACTGTTCGGAGCCCTCTTTTTCTCGTTCTTCGCGGAAGGGCGTGCGTGGGCCAGTTCCCCGCCGTTTTTGTCTCATCGGGCCCATTTTAGAACAAGCCAGCCAGTTGATCGAGGTGAGGTGTTATTTTGCTTGGATTTGCTTGGCTTGCAGCAAACGCTCCAAGGGGATGTTTGCTTTTTCCAGGCCCCTGTTTGACATTCAGCCAGCTTCCCTGCGATTTTGATGATGACTTGGGATCATTTGTCCGGCCCCTTACCAGAGGTGCACACCATGCAGACTCTAGCGTCCCAAGAGGCTCCAACAGATTCTTGTTGCCTGAAGCGCCATTGGGCGTATCCCGGCGCAATGTCCTCCCTTTCTCATGTTTTTTTTCCCTCTCCTGGAAGGGCAAGGCCAAACGAGAGCTTCCACATTTCGGCAACACCACTTTGTGTCATCTTCCGTTTTCTCGCGATATGAAGATTCACAGTGAGTGCGTGCGTGTGTATTTTCTCAGCTTTTGTTTAGAGAAAGAGAGGGGATTGGAATATCATCGTGATTCTTTACTTTTTCACTTCTGCGAAGCTGCCCTTTTGACCTTTTAGCTTTCGGGGTGATTTTCAGGTCCATGGGGCAAGCGCCTTTTTTAAGGGGCAGCTCAAAAACAAATGGGTGTATGCTTTTGAGGCTAGTCTTTAACAGGTTGCTTTGAAGCGGAAATAAAGAAGTCGCAAAGACCCAACTGAGGAATTCTGAAATTCGCCCCCTATTTGACACAAACCAACATGGATTTCTCTTTATTTTGGCGCATCGCTGCAGGTCCGTCCCCTGCCAGATGGGGAGCTGCTTCTCTCCTCGGGCTACGTGGCGGGGTGCATCTTCCGCCTCACCGCTGACTGAGCTGAGACGGATGAAGGGACAGGGCTCCCGGCATTTCCCTTGTAGGCAAGTGTAGCTTTAGTCACACGTTGGAAAGCCCCAAATGAGGAGACGCTGGGTTCATCGTTTGGTGGATGATTCCGTTGTGCGAGTTTTTAACCTTAAAGCCCTTTTGAGAAAGGACCGCTTTTTCCCCAACAAGAAAACAGTTCAACTTGTTGCAGGGGCTCAAAGTCCAGACCACAAACATGCAAGGGTGCTCAACATTTTTGTTGGAGGCTTCCCCTTTTACCGTCTGCAAGTTCACGGTTGAGGGTTGGAGTGTCACTTGACTGGCTCTTAGATGCCCTAAGGAAGTCACACATGAAATTGTGGCGGTTTGATTTGCCAGACCCTCAACTTTGCAGAGATGAGGTGCTTCAGCATCACCTTTAGCGGCTAATCCTTTCAGGCAGTGGCGTGGAGCATTAGAACATCCTACTCGTAGTATGCTGGGAGCTCCGTTGTTCCTCATCCGGTGACCGGCGCTTAATTGTTGGCTACCCTCGCAGCCGACGGAAGAAGGGATGCAGCGTTGACAGGTTTAATGCGATGCGGGCTTCCTGGAGCTTTCCTCACCCTGCCACATATTTTGTTCAAGTGATGTACCTGACTTTGCGTTGCAGTGATTCTGGTGGCAGAGTTAATGCCAGGCTTTCCTTGCCAAAGGCATTGATCCAGCGCAGCGCCAGCGCGCTTCTTTTGGATCAGCGCTGTAACTGTTTGACGCTCGCGTTCAGGGCCGAGAACCTTCATTCCGGTCCTGTTCCCCGAACGCAGCGCTGTTTAATCTCGCACCTGTCCAATGAGCGTGGCCCTTTGATGCCGTGGGAAGCTCTGGCCACTGCATTCAAAGGGCGTCACTTGGCTCGAGCAAAGGCATGCAGTGGGCAAGAGCTGCTTTTCATGATGCACGACACGCTTCCGGGCAATCATATGCCCAGGCCTCGACCCTTTCATGGCATTCCGATGCTTTTTGGCAAGCTATTCTTCCATTTTGAGGCTCGCTGGATATGGACGAAATCTTAAATCACATTTTCGTTGGGCAACATGTGGAAACACTTGAAGGTAGGCCCCCCAAAAAATCCCCGCTCTCAGCGGATTTCCGTGGCAGGGCAAACCCGACCAGCGCCCGGGCCTCAAGGGTTTGCTTCTGGCAGCGATCATCGGCCATCTGTTGATGTCCGGAAACGGAAGCACACCTCTTGGATGACCTTTTGAGCGGGGACAGCTGTGCCTTCTCATTTTTGGAAGGGTTCAACAAGCAACTGCGCAACATGTTCTCAAAGTCAGCCAGTGACTCAGGCAGATGCTGAGCCCAGCGCGACTTCTGAAGGCTCGGCTGGCAGCAGGGGGCGGGCATGAGAAGTGCATGAGCGCTTGGTATAGGAATGACTCTTTGCGCAGGGATGCGAGCCTGGAGTTAGCTAGTGACATTTTCTCTCAAACTCATTGGAAGCGCAGTACGCGGACGCGCACGCAAAAGTTGGCCTGAACACGGGATACTTAGTGGGGACTGCCCCCTTGCCAAATTCTGGGCCGCGAGCCTCCAGGCTACCCTCCGGTTTACGTTGAGGCTTCAACGACCGTGTCAACACTTTTTGGCCAGTCAACTCAACAGGTCACTCAAAGCATCATACCTTTCTCGTTTTCTCCAAGTCTCCCATACCGGAGGGCTCAATTGCCAGGTGGCCTCACCACAGCGCAACGGCCTGCGTCTCAGCGGAGCACCCATGAAGCTTGGGTGGGGTACCCCTTTGCGCTCCCTAACGACTGCTTTTTGGACCTCGCTTTTGGGGTTTTGGACGCGAGAGAAGCAGTCGTTGCTGGTTGTTACAAGTTTGTTTAATGGCAAGCCAAAAGCTGCACCGCCAATTTTAGGGGTCCCCCTAATAAGCTTGCCGCGGCCGCCGATGTGTGTGCCCAATTGCTCTCAAGACCAGCCATAGGGACCATGATGCCAAATATTGTTTGATTGATGAGTTGCAGTGCCTTGTTGTTGTTAGCAGGAAGACATAGTATTTGTTTGGATCAAATTCTGCACAGCATGCCACCAACAACAACTTCCATGCCCTGAGAACTGCTGAAGGGGCAATGTGATTGATAGGACACTCGTATTTTTCATAGTTTCGGTTGGTCAAGACATGCCTGGTGAATTTCCTCGAACATTGACAATGGGTTTTTGTGGTCATGAAGCCCGCCCGACACTGTTTGACAAGATGTGGATAGCCGGTTGCAATGCCTGTGCCAGGCAAACATCATGCTCCACATTTAGTCTTGCATCAGACCTTGGATATTCAATGAAGTATCAACCAGTACCAGGCAGCCTTTTCTTTACTCTGGAAAGCCAGCGATTTGTTTTGCTACTCCTTCCCAGTGGGGCACAGAATGCAAAGTAGATGGGAAACGAAATAATTCTGAAGGGCCAACATCGGCGGATTTTCTGACAAGCCCATGTTTCTGCTCGAACGGATCGACAACCTTGAGGCAAATAAGCTCGTCATGAAAGCCTTTGAGGGTGCGATAGTCAGTAGTCTACATGTTCCGGGTTGGACTTGGAACTGTCAGGAAATATTTTGGCAATGGACTGCGTTAGCAGGTCCCACACTTGGCAGCTGGTTAATGCAGTATTGCATGCTGATGTTTTGCGAGAGGATCCCAGGGGGCAAATCTGCCAGACCTAATTTCGCTAGATGATCGTTGCTTCTTTGTGGCTTGCAGCACAGGTTTATGATACTCACATCCACGCCTGATTACACCTGATTGACACATAAACGCAAGTGCAGGCGCACATGCACTTGCCAAGAGTCGCCAAATTGTGATACTTCTGGTTGCATTCCAGGCTGCATTCTTTGGATTTGGGATCTTGCGACCTCGTGAGGTGCCTGGGCACTTTCAGAGAGCCAGGCATGGTGTTTCCCGCATTTTTGCTGTGAAGTTTGGTCGGGTGTCGAGCTTGCCACAGAAGCCAACTTAGCTTCCAAATTGGCTAGAGAACATGTTTCGCCTTCTTGTGGTTGGCGGTAGGAAAGCAACAGGAAAGCAGCCACTGTAAGGGACCCCTATTTTATCCTTTTTGACAACGCCCACATCCTGCCGAAGCTTGGCAGACGAATCAGCTCCATCGCCTGCAGCGTCACAGGATCGGAGTTTGACCAAGCAGACGCTGGGCCCCCCAGAACGTCGCAGCATGTTGCACAACTTTCGAAAGGTTTATTTGCTCCACACCATGAAGCAGGTTCTTCCCAACAGAGCTCGCAACCGTGAAAGAGGTGCGCTTGACAAACAAGAAACTTGTATTATGTTGTTGCCCGTATGTGGTGCAACATGCAGCCAAAGATCTCCACTAGCAGAGGAGTGATTCGTTCACAGAAATGTTCCGGGGGATGATCAGGTGCATTTCAACAGCACAAGCAGGCCAAGGTTCATGTTCCTTTCCCCCGTTGCAAGGTCCGATGGCTGTTTCATCACCACGCTCGACACACCCAGCATCGTGCATAAGGCTGGGGCGGGGGAGGGGAAAACTGTGCTACTTGCAAACATCTGAAGTGCAGAGGGCCAATCAGGTTCGTGGCATCACTGCGAAGTTTGTTTGCACCATTCAGACAGGACTAAGAATGAGAGGCAGGCATGTGGCTATGAATTTCTATTGCGGCCCCCGAATTAAAAGCCAGACCCAAATCTGTTTGCCGTTCTCTTTTTCGCCTTGGCCTTGCGGCAGTTTTGAATCGCTCAGGTGTCCTCGCACCCTATGCTCTCGCCATACCGGGTCCAGGCACAACTGTCCGCAAGTTTGCTTGGCTTAGCCCCAAGCCACTCCCACATGAGTTAGCAAGTTTCTCACAAGAAGTGGGCGGGCAATTTTGGCCTGGCTCACATGGGTAGGACTTTGCCTGTTGGTTCAGCTCGGGCAGGCTACCAGGATCAATTCACGCATGACAAATGCAAGATTTTGTTTGATCGATGTATGCCTTTGGTAGGTCGTTTGTTTGATCGATGCATGCCTTTGGTAGTACTTGTTGGAATCGAAAGTTTGGAGCTGCTCAACACATATTTGAGAGTGTTCTTCTCACAGGGCACTCTTTTGGACATGTTTCAAAGCGAAACCAAGGCAGACTCATGGTTGAAGTTCCCCATGAGCACTCCCTTTTGGCCAGGGCACCTCCACGACCACTCTCGGCAGCCCGGCTGGGTGCTCAGACTTTTTGGGAGTGCGGTGTACTGGACCCGGTAAAAAATAGAGTCGGCTGGAGGAAACATGCCCGCATAGAGGCTTGGAGGCATGTAAATGCTTTGAAGCTAAGAGGCTGGTAGCAGTTTTCAGGGGTCCGGGCAAGTGTGTGTGGGGGGCCTTAGGGGAGGCAAAGGCCTGCGTGGCGCAAGGCGCACGAGCGCGTGAAGAGCAGCTCCGAAGGCTCTGAGCATTGATCATGTCAGAGTTGGGTGAAAATAGATGGCACGATTCCTGGGGGTCGCTTAGCTATGCGGCTATCCGCTTGACTTTGCGACATGAAGGGAGTTGGGCCATCTACTTTCACCCTGAAGGTTCTGGTGTACAAAGATGGAAGTGCCTGTAAGGGAAGAGTTAATGGTTTGAATCGCTTTGGTTTTTGAGTTGGGGGTTTGCGCAGAAGTTAGTTCCCATTGATGACCGTGTAAAGATTGTACCCCGGACACTCCCTCTTGCCCTGGAGGATGCGTTTGTTTCCAGTTCTGCCAATGTCAGTTAGTTCTTCGCTATTCCTTCAAGGGGTATCACGCAATTCCTGGCTTAATGCTCTAGGGGGCGAGCCAGGAGATGCCCCCGGCAAACAACATGGAAAGAGCCAACGTTGTATCGAGCCTTCAAGTAGTCACTTCTCTATCAAAAGTGGGCCAGCTGCGAGGAATCTGCCTTTAGCCGCTGCTTGGGCGGAAAATTGCGGAAAGCGATTGCGATCAAAGGCATTTGCGTGGGATCATTACCCTTTTCGTCAACGATGGATCTTGGAATCTTGGGTTCTTACTACTACACAGAAACATTAGGACCCCCCCTGCCCTCCAGACCCCCAGAAGAATTCTCAGGACTGCTATCGCTCCTTCTCGGAAGTAGGAAGTCATCACAGAACCCTAGATGGATTCCAATAAGCGGGTTCCAGCTTGCACGAAAGGGCAGTCACGTATGTAACATCCTAGGGCCCATTTGTTAGAACCCATTGAACGGGTCACCCAAGGTTTCCCCCCTTTCCTGGTGCCAGGCCGGGCCAACCAGCGTGCACGCTGCGAGTATGGGTGCAAGGCTTAGCTTATGCTTGGACTCCATCGCCGGAGGCTTTGGGTCGCCACTTTCCGTCCAATTCAAAGTGATCAAAGAATTCCTTCCCTCCTAACACAATGAACCTAGCCATGGGACTGCTCACTTCTTCAGAGGCAGTGTTCCCACAGACGCCTCCGATTCTGGCCAGCGTCACGGCACAAAAGAAGCCGCAGTCAACCAGCAGAGTTACATTCCGAAGGTCGTGGGCCGGAGCCAAGAGTGGCCACACCCTGCCCCCAACTTGCCTTTGGCACATTCTTGGATCCGCGGCGTGCGTTCACTATGTAAATTGCAGGTTTGAGGTTGGGAAGCGAGAAGGGGATGGGGACACAAGACCTGGGCCAAGAAGGCGGGCGTCTCAATTCCTGCTCAACTTCCGTTTGGCTTCTCTCGAAAGCAACCCAACAAGATGCTCCAGGACCACTGACAGTGAGGATGCTTGGGAGAGAGAGAGGGAGAAAAAAAAAGCTGCTTAATCTGGACCCCCCTCTGGCCCCTTCCCAGCCAATTAAACTGGAAACACGAACCTGGAGACCCAGAGAACCTCCTCGGTTGGCCCTTCTGGGCTATAGGACTTTAAATGGCAACAGCAGTTTTTGGTTTTGAGCCCACAAGGCCCTGAGTAATGGCGGGTGGTTTCTCTTAATAATGAGTGGGCTGGCCTCCAAGAGGGGTCCCCTTCGTGAGCTTCAACATCTTATCATCTTAAGCAAGCTTCAGGAAGACACATGCACTTTAGGGCAAGCACATTTGCGGATATTTGCAGGGAAAACTTGAGAGGTTCAATAATGGATCGGTTCAATAGATCAGCATCGGACTACGCAAATACTAAGCCAAAAGGAACGCCTTTTTCTGGCAGATGTTCTAGCTTGGGGCTGCGGGGGGTACCTTTAATCAATGATTTTGGGGCCAACATCCAAGGTGCGAGTGCATGGCACGATTCGCTCATGGTTTTCTAGTCACCCCCTTGACTTACAGTACTCATATTAAGGAGTTTTGCCAGCAAACTAAAACCCTGGCGTGCCAAAGGTCCCCGTCTCCGCCTGAGGAAGGCTCCGCTCTTCTCCCCCCCTGCCCGCGGACGCAGCGTAAAGGAGAGCCGCGCAGGACGGATCATCAGGGAACGGAAGGCAGAGGCACAGGTGGCCCTCAATGAATGTTGCAAGTGAGGGACTGCGCAAACGTCCTACTTTTCCCTGAGTTACTGTACTTTTACGTCTGAGTGTGGTTGGTTCACGTGCCATATTCAGGGCATGCACCGTAATAGGGGCCTGGATTCAACCAAAGGTCATGGTTGTCCTGTATGGTGTAATGCTATTTTATCCTCAGACATGGTCCTACACAGTCATTTGCCATCACAGTGGTGCCGGTGATTTGTTAGTTCTCTTCCCGCCACGGGCTTGAACAGCCGTGGGGTCCATTCGCTGTCATGGGACCCTGCTCGAGGTTTTGCTTCAAAGTCGCATGCTCATGGCTCCACTTCCACGCTCTGTGGTGGTTGCTAGGTGGGGGGGGTTGGAGTTTGGATTTGGATTTGACCCCCCGATTCTCGTAGAGGGTAATTGGGAAGCCTCCAACCTCCAGCTGATCTGATGCAAGCTCCGGCGAGGCTCTGATGCTGCGGAGGCGCTGCAGATGCTCTTGGCAGCCCAGCACGGGGCTCAACCTTGGTTGATGGATGTAAATGATTCAGGGTTCCCCCTTGAAATGAACTTGAGTGGCTGCACCGAGAAATTGGAGAATGGGACCATGTGCACATGTGTGGCAAATAGGAAGTTTAACGTAAGCTCAAACGTGCTTATGTTTGTTGATTCTACCGGCACACTTTCTCATTTTTGGCCTCGCTGAGGCCACAGACGTTGGCAGAGGTTGAGGCTATCGAGGATGCTGCGTCCACTTTGGCGCGGCTCGTCGGGGTCTCTGGCCGTCGCATGCGGTTGAGCATGGAGGCGCAGGACTGATTTCGGTTAAGGAGCGATGAATTGGGGTCCTAAGCAGCATAAGGGTAGCCTTAACTAGCCCCCACACCACTTAGAATCCATGAGGTGGACTCACACAACAATTGGATTGCGAGTTGTTCTTGTGCTTGTGTGCGTTCGCCAGCCTTTGCTGCTATGGTCGTCGGCACTGTGAGCCTTCGGGTTGCTCACCGGGCAAACGGAGCAGCATGTAATGTTTGCCTTGGCCGCCTTGGCCAAGAGGCTTTTTTTCCTGCACGCAAAGGAAACTTCTTCCACCCTACCTCATGAAAACCCAATCGCTCCCTCAAGGGCCTCGGTAAGGCCTGAGAAATGCGCATTTGGGAACGCATTTGGGGGGAGACAACCCCTTCTAAGGCCATACTAGAAGAACCCCGAGATCCTTGAGTTTTCATGGCACCTCCCACGCTCAACCTCTGCCGAGGCATTGCATGGGCGTTTGCCCAAGTCACTTTGGCAGTTGGCCCAGCGCCCGCCTAGCCAGCTGCTGGTACACACCCTCGATCCATTGTCCCTGTGTTGTGGGCGCGACGCAACTTGGGCTGGGGGGGTAATTCGCATGGAGTGTAAATCAAGAAGCATACTTGCTCCGAGCGAATTTCTGGGAGCCACAGCTCGTTCAAGCCCAATGTTCAGCATCCCGAGCCATAGTTTAAATGCTGGACAGACACACACACACACATATCCCCACTCCCAGGTAGCCACCAATAAAGTTGTTTTTTGCGAGGAAAACACAGCATGCAGCAAGTGGTTGGTTCCCAGTTTGCGCCTGTTCAACATGGCTAGGCAGGGGCAGCACAACTTGCACGCCCTAGCAGCAATGAATCATCACAAAGCCTCCTGTACTGGTTTGAACTTACTTGGATTCACTTGGTACAGTTTTCACTGGACGTGTCCAACTTGTTCTTGGCATTGGCACGTCGACCTAGGAACTTGGAGTTGGGAAAGTGGTGTGTAGCGGTTTAACAGCCACGGCGTGCGAGCTATACCACTGGCGGGGCTTCGCCATCAGTGCTGCTTCAGCTTGCCGGCATGGGAAAGCCCTTGGGGCCCTTGCTATGCTTGTTTTGTCTATTTTGTGGGCGTTTCATGTGCAGACCCTTGGCCATGTGCACCTGCCTGTTTTCGCAGGCGAACAGCCTTGCCGCTTGATAGGTTGTGGCTGGTGCTTGTGCTGTCGCATTTAGCGGCTTGAGTTGTAGTGGTGGGTCCCAATGCAGACGGAACCAACACAGGTGGTTGCAACAACAACTGCACCGGCACAAGTGCCGGAGGCACATCACCCGCCACCAGCCATACCACCATCAACAGAGATGTCAACGAAAAGCCAAGACTTCAAAACCAGTTATCTACCTACCACATACCACCCACTGCAACCTACCATCCACTACTCACTCACCACCATTCGACAACACTAGCAGCACAGATTGACCAGAATGTCGGGGCCATTGTCGTTGCAAGCAAAAGCCTTTTTTCACCCCCTCCAAGTTCGCCTGAACCCGGGCTATGTGCGATATCTTGCCTGCTTGCCTGCTGACCTCAGGGCCAGGGCCCCAGAAGACATAGTTCATGATTGCGATAGGGCTTTATCCATGTTGTTAGGTGGCCCAAAGTGACAGTGCGAAGCTGCAAGCATATCAAGAAGTGAAGCGTAGTTGCTGCGGACACAAGCTCGCAGATTGTATTTACGTCAGGTGCACTGTGCCATTGCCGCGGGGGGGGGGGTCTTCCGCTTTTTCCCTGCCAGCAACTTTGGCAGTCGATCCGGCATTTTGGCCTGCGAGTCGGTTCTTCCGACTTGAGGCCATGGAGAGAACAGAGCGGCCGCTTGAAGGCTGGGTAGCAGTTCAAAGCTGCAGGCAACGATCACCAGATATCACTTGAAATCACAAGCAAGGGCCAAGAGGCAATCGGTGCTAGAAGGTGTAAGAAGATTCATTTTTCAGAGAAGCATGGCTATGGTGTTCACGATTTGGTCATGACAAATTACCCAAGGCAAACTGAGTGATGTACAGCTGCCATCTGCAAGGTGGCGCCTGACTGCTTAAGCTTAGTTTCCATCGCGCTCGACAAGTTGTTCTTGGCCGGTTGCCAGCGCTTTTTGTATGAGATGAGAATCCAACTATTCCTACGGTTCTAGGATATGGAATGAATGCATTCACATGCTATGCCCTGCTGGGAAGACAAGCATGAAAATGCATGCTCCACTTATTCCTAATGGCATTCTATCTGAAAAGCTAGCTTGACCAACTGCATGAATTTGGGAGACCTCTGAGCGGCAAACGACAAGCCCCGCACTTCTGCGAAACAGCCGTTCGCAAACCCGGATGGAGCAAGAAATGTCTCACACAGCGATGACATTGGCCGCATTTGGTGGATTATTATTGATTGCAATGATTGTGCAATATATGAATAGTTGCGTCTTCTTCTAGCAGAAGTTGCAGGAGACATTCGCCTCAGTTGTTGGATGCACAAAACACCTCCCTGAGGAAGACAGCGCCTACCCCTGAAATCAGGGTGTAAACAACGAACAACAGAGGGTGAAGAACCCAAATGCGGCTTAAGTCTAGAGTGTCATATTTGCCAGCTTTGCGGTCGCAAGGTCCACGTGTTTGTCGGGTGAAATCTTTTGCAAGCCGACCGCCCTCATGCCAACCGTGCTCGCTTTGCACCCCATGGCAGGCTCGGCGGAGACCTGCGAGCGGCGGGCAGAGGAAGCGCTGGAGCAGGGACAGTCAGCAAGAGCAGCGGCCTGGCAAAAATACGTCGCCGGACATGTGACTCCTTGAGCCGTGTGTGTTTTTGTGCCCTGTTCCAGGAGGTCATGCTGGAGCTGTGCGGTTACGAAAGGGGCGCCTTTCGTAGTGACCCGTCAAAAGGGATCGTGGCATTAGGATTGGCAAGCCCTGCATTTTTCAATGGCCGGTTGAAAATATCTTGCTCAAGTGGCCTGGGTTGGGACTTGCCCCAGAAAGAATCAAAAGGGCGACCACGGGACCAGAAGAGAAGTGCCAGGCAGACTACCTCGACCGCGCCCTGTGCCAGCGCCTGGAAGCCGGCAAAGATGGCATTCTGCTGACAGCGGAGGCTTTGGCGCGCGCCAGCAGCGCGGCAATTCCATCCCTAGGGGTCCCTGTATTTCTCCGCTTTACGTTTTGGAGCATCACCTTTTTGGCTATGTTTAAGATAGTTTCTTTTGGAGCGATTTTCCTAAGGGGAGTGTAGGAAATTCGGAATCCCGGATGCATTTGCTTTCTGACCCTGGATGGACTATTTATATAGTTGGCAGACGCCTCCAGCTTGGCTGGACCTTCAACTCGAGCGATCCACGTAAACCCAATACACAAATTTCAGGACTCCGCTGGTAAGTAGCTTTGTGACACGTGGAATGTCACTTGCTGTAGGGCCAGTTTGGCGGGCATGGCGCCTGTGGAATCACTGCGTTTAGACCCTCACTCACAGTTTTTTACTTTGTAGGCATGCCCTACCCCCTACTCCCCTGCCAAGCAACATGGAACCCAAAAAAGGGCCGCGCAAAAGGAGATACCTGCCCAGATGCTCGTTGGGCATGCCGATTTTTGCTGAGGGGTCTGCCCCTCTTTCCACTCGGCATCATTGGTCCATACCCAAGGTAATCATGCCACTGCGGACAGCCACCCTGGCTCCGAGCAACGCCTGCAGCGCACGCTGCAGTTGCCACCTGGCGAAGAAGATAGTGATTAAAGGGCAGGGTGCGAGAGGAAACCCGGAAACCCTCTGTGTGTTTGTTTCAGGGGAACAGGCCCACTGGTTGCGTTCGCGCACGCACGGTTTCTTGGTGCAACACCCCCAGGTGGAACAGGGACTTCGGACTTATATCAAGACATTGAGTTTTTCTCACGAATCGGTGACGCTGATAAGTGGCTGGGGCAAATGCCAGAAAGACGCTGACAACCGCAACGCACTTTTTATGGACAAACATCGTCCGCGATGGGGATCCCTTATTATCAGGGTTCTAGCTTGCGCATCGACCCAGCTTAAGCTCTTGAGGCTGGATGAGGTTGTCGCCTCGCAAGGCGAGAGCAGCTGGGGTGATTTGCGGGACATGGCGAATTGGCGAAGCAAAGCACATTTTGCTGGCATGGTCACGTTGGAAGACATGCCATTTGCAGCATCATGTTCGGTTTTGTTATGCCTGTCCATTGTTCGCCTCCTGTCGCGCGGAAGGGGGATGAAAGTTGGCGCTGGCAGCGAGTGATTGGCACCCGTGATTGGACAAGATGTTAAATGTGGCAATTGCAATCACGACACGGCTGATTGGCCAATGTTTGTTCTTCAGGAGCAGTCAGCGCAGCACTTGCAACTTGTGCTTCCCGTCTTGAAGGGCTAACAAACTCAATTCCAGAAAATAGCAAGGGGCCCTTGGTTTTGACCGCCTGTTTCATGATTTGGCGCAGGCCCAAGTCCCCGGATTTTGTCTTGCATCAATCTCACGCGCCTCGGATGCATCCGCGCTTGCAAGCCCCGGCGCTGCAGCCAGTCTGTTTGCCACATGTACGCCTACGGGTTATCTCACCCGGTTTGTTCAACCCAGGTGGAGGGCGCACACATGGGGCTGTATAGACAAATCGGCAGGTGTCCGTGAAGCACTGAACCTCTCACGCGGGTCCAGGGGAACTGCCACGAATTGGTAATTATGGAACTGCCAGCCAGAAATTGGCAGGCAACTTCGGGGCACAAACGCAGTACAAGCCAAGGCGCATATCATGTTATGTGCTCAGTTTGGGCTTGTTCTTCAGCGCAGGCCATGACAATTGTGTCATTTCCCAGGCTGGCCAACCTATCAGCCCTGCATTTGCGCGCTGGGCGTCGGGAGATGTCCCTGAAGTGCTTGCAAGAAGCGGAGGCCAGCGATATGTCCATCGAGCTGTTTGATGGAGTTGGACCCGGAAAGTCGGACTCATTTGATACATCCCCAGCCTTAACATTGGGTTCGACGGCAGGGAAGTCGTATGTTGAGCCAAGAGGGTCACATTTGAGCTCCCAGTGTTTGGCTCACGTCTCGGCATTGGTTTCACAAGTTTGTCGCATGAAATCGGAAGCCTACACCAAAGATGTGTGAGTGAGACATTCGCCTCCGCAGTGCAGGCCTTTGGCGGGACTTTGCCTCCTGCAGAGGCGCGGGCCGCGATGCCGAGAGGACCCTGAGGGTCGGCCTAGCTCCAATCCAAAGGCTTCTCGCAAGGTGGCTGTTCACGGTTTTCCCCCCATTCCATTCCTGATCTTTCAATAATCTCTCTCTTTTTGGGGCGGCTGCCACAACCCGAGCATTGAAGTTGCGTTTGGGGTGCAATGACATGTCACATTGGGATTCGGAAAATGGCATTGTGACCGTGTGTTGCACTTGCGGGCGCGCCGATGAACCACAATATACAACAAGTGAGGGGGTTACTTGTTTCGTTTCAGCCCCGATGAATGCAACAAGCGCGACTGCCTTTTTGCGCGTTCGGCCAAGACGGAACAACGCCCAGGTCCAGCAGCGTTTATCACTGCATGTTTCTTACAAGATTCTTGGGGTGGTCAATCTGACGCGATTCTGTCACGAGTCGGATGGGAACAAGGGTGCCGTTTGCACGTTGCCACATTGCCCTGACTTTAAGTTGCGCTTTGCTGGAGGTTGCGCTTCTGGTTGGGAGCTTGAAGTCGATTGCTCAGGCTGCAGCTACGCAGTTGAGCCTTTGCGCGCTGCTTTCGCAACTGGGCCGCCATGAGGAAGCGCAGAGGCACGCTGCCGAGGCCAGAGATCAATGGGAACTGGCGTGCACTTGTCGGCATGGCTCGAGGATCCCATGTGTTTGACACATGCAAGGGCACATGTGTGCATTCGCATGTGTGGGCAACGCGCTGCAATTTGGTATGGTTTTGCGGGGCTACTGGTTCTGAAGATTGTATGGATCTATTGACGTCATTACAAACACACATCTACGTGGATCCGAGCAGGTGAACATACCAGAATTTCGCGTGCGCACTTTCCACACAACACGTCCAAGTCTCTTTGACATGCAAGATCTTCCAACGTGCCATGCCATTTCCAGGTGGAGTTCGGGGTCTGATTGTTGCGGATCAATGTGAGAACTCAGCTCGAAAACTCATAAAATTTTCAGCTGGCCTTGAGGCCTGGTTTAGCCCGCAAGATCGGATGGACCTTAACGGCGTCAGGGTTTTGGTTTTGTCTGGGGCCCAGGGAGCTCAAGTGTAAGTTGAGAATCTTTCTAGACCGGTTTAGTTGCAGTCTAGGCCATGAACAAAACACGGGGCGGGGTCCAGTCCGTGTGATTTTTAGTCGGGTGGTGAGACAGGTCGACCACTGATGCTCTAGGTTCGAACCACACGGAGGGTATATAATAGGAAAGCCCTTGGGCATAGCACTGAGAGCCATCAGCCATACATTCCTGCATCCAATCCTGCGTTGCTGGACCACGAATGAGCAAATGAGCCAAAGAAGACATGTGCACCTTGTGCAATAAGCCTAGTACCTTGTGCAGCTGGCAGTGGAATGTTAGTTCTGGAGTGTTGTTCGGAATGTGCTTCAATGTTTGCAGACTTGACGGTCACGTCGCGAGTCACGCGCCTGGGTGTTGTGGCTTCGAGCTGTCAGGCGGTTAGGCTCGGAGAAGCGGACATCCTGGAGCCACCTGATTGCAATTTCTGGCCAGCAGCGGATAAAACCACGTGTCCATGATTCCATTTGCCATGAGTGACAACCTTGTCTTGACAGGCCAGTCGAGAGGAGTGACACCCGATTTTTTTCACTCCCACGTATGATCCCATGCTTGTTAGGTTCCTACCATTGCTTCTTTCAAGTCGCCGTCAGGCGTCCCATGGCGGAAGAGTGTTGTTTTTCCATGCGCGGAAGAGGCGCAGAGGCCTAACCACTCCAATGCCAGCCTCGCGCTTTCCACCCCGAGGATCCCGTCTTTGGGCGACGGCGCTTCCGCGATGGCGGTTCTACGGGACAAGGCGGGCGGCTCGCAACGAAGTCGTGGCACACATCATGGGTAGTATGTGTCAAAATGGGGGGTTACTTTCGAAGGTGGTTTTCCTTCTGGTTTCCGGTTAAACCAAGCCCACAAAAAAGGGAACACGCAAAAGAAACGCACACCTATGGTTGTTAGTTTTCGTCATTTCCATCGGAGGGGGTGGACCAATAATAATGGACATTTGTTTAGTGTGTAGGGGTCACTATCTCAATGGGGTTGCGGCGGCCGATGCTTTGCCAATATGCAGTCCAAAGAGTAGCTTGCGACAATGGCGCTCACGCAGGCGCATTTTGATGAAAGAGGCTTCGCGTCAAAGGGCTCTATACACACTTGCATTGGCCCAAACATGAGATGATTGAAAAGAGAAAATATGAGAAACCCTGTGATGGTTGCCTCTTGCTGGCATAGTTGAAGTGATGCTTGGGACATGCATTGGGTCAACGCGTGCAGTTTTGGCCCTGCAATCTCCAGCTCATTCCTTGCCTTTCAAGTGAAACCAACCAGAAGTGATAATGATAGAATTGTGAGACCTTCTTTAATGTGACCTTAAAAAGGCCAATAGTCAATCGTTAGACCTTAAACAATCCCAGGTCCCACTTGCAAAAGCTGGTCCATGAACTTGAGCACCACAGGGACGTGAGCACCGCTTGGGATTTCTGCAGTCGTTGCCTGCACAATCCGTTGTAAAACCTCTGTCGTCGCAGGGTGTTTCATATGTGTTTCTTTGGAACGCTCTTGTGAAGCGGGCTTCCCCTCCGCAATCTCAAATTGGCATTTTAGTAACTTAGTAAAGCCAGATGGCTGCTAGCTAGGTGGCCGATTTGATTTGCATGCTCAGTCCAGTAGACTGGCAGGCAAATGCCCTTGCAGTGGCCTACAACAACCTAGCGGTGTCTTGGCGCGACAAAGATGGTCACACCACGAAAACCACACTGCACATGTTGCTCTGTGCTCAGTGCAGGCAGAATATAGGTCTTGCAACCTCACAGGTCGACTATGATGCTGGCGTTAAATCAGATAGATGTTTGCTTGTGGGATTTCGTTGGCTGAAGTGCCCAACTTGCAGAGAGGCAAGCCAGCTCACAATGGCAAACGCTGGCCCCCACCACCAATGTAGGTCTCCCACAATGGGCCAGCTGATATCCAAGGTACAACGCGAATACCTGGGCTATGATGATTGCTTGGCCCTCTACGAGCCGCTTGACACTGCTTCGGGCCTTTTTTTGTTGTTGTTATGGCTCAGGGCATGGCAGTGTGGCAAGGTTCAAGCAAACCACCACGGCTCATGTGATGCAATCTAAGCTCATCTAGCTGCGCTTGACGCGCGCGTGTTGGGAGTTGCGAGATCGCATTGGCCGCTTGTTTACCAAGCCAAACAATGGTGCCCGGTGAGATGCGGCAGTTACCTTTGCAGCCACTGTTCAGGAAAGCAGTTGTCCTGGCAGAGAACCATATGGACAAGGATGACGCTTTGCTATCGAACTTCGCCTGCAAGGAAGAATGCTGGGACCTGTTGCATGTTCATGAGCTGTGGCTTATTTAGCACCGGGCTAGAATCGACTCATCCAATCATTTTGGGGGGAAGAAGCAGTTTGCATTGTCCAGTGGCACTTTGCCTCAGGCGCTTGAGGGAGTCCCATCGCAATGCCTTGCAGATGGCCGTTGGTCGGAGGTGCCTCGCCTTCACTTGGGGCTTCGCACAGTTTCCAGCGCAGGCCGCGCATCTAAGCAAAAGTGTGCGAGATCAAAGCCATGTCTCTTGGAGTAACAGACTTTGCGACCCAATTGAGCGTGAGCAGGTCATTTGCTCAACATGTCCAATGTTTGCTTGAACGCACTACTTCAAGAGCCACAAGGAGTTCTAGCGTGGACAGCGTGTAGCCTGTGCAACCCTCAAGCTTTGATGCAGTCATTGGAACTATTGCCTGCCACGGAATGTGCAAGGGACATTCTGGAATCAATTGGGAGTCGTTCTAAATTGCCAGTCTTAAAATTAAGTAAAGGGAGGGTTCTGAAGGAAGGAAAACACTGCATCGCGAAAGGCCGGCGAAAGGAACGCGAAAGGACTTGAAACATAACGAATACATGGTAGAACCCTCGTTTGGGCTCAAAATCCAGTTTTTCAGGACTGGTTTTTCACCGCGAAAGGAAAACATGGGGCCGCGAAAGGACCGCGAAAGGCCGGCGAAAGGGCCGTTTCCAGGAACTTTTCCCCAATTGTCCGGGCAGCACGTGCCACGTGACCTGTGAGACTGCTGCTGGGAATGTGTGTGTGTGTGTGTGTGTGAGTGTGTGAGTGTGTGTGTGTGTGGGTGCGTGCGTGGGTGGGTGGGTGGGTGCGTGCGTGCGTGCGTGCGCGCGCGTGTGCGTGTGCGTGTGCGTGTGTGTGTTTGTTTTGCCCGGATTTGACGAACAGGGCATTGGATTTTGTTCAGGCTTTCTTCTAGAAGGGAGCTTGGAGCGCACGGGCATGACTAATGACTGGGGTGGGCAAATCAACATACTCAAAAACCTTGGCTCACATAGGTATGTGTCAGGATAGGGGAACCGCAGCATTGAATTCGGTTTTCCTTGTTGTTTTCCTTTGGAGAAGGGCACCCTCAAAAAGAAGCACAAACCCAGAGTTCGCCCTACCTGTTGAATTAATTTGCTTGTGTGTTTGTCTATCTATCTGGGTGTGCTTTTTCTTTGAGGGTCCCCGTTTTGGGGTTGCAGGGGAACCCAAACGAGCCACCCCAACCCATTCTTAGGTGCCGCCCGCAGCTGGAGAAGCGCCGGCCCTTGTCAGCGGTGGCAGCTTCCCGAGAGCGCGGTTCGGCCGAGTGCCAGCGCAAGGCGGTGAGAGAACCGTTTCGGGGAAACGAGCAGCAGGGGGTCTACCCTGGTCGCTTTTTGTTCTTCTTCTTCTTCTTCTTTGTTTATTTCTTTGTTTGTGTGTGCGTGTGTGTTTGTTTGTTTGTTTGAAAAATATTTCCCACAGGGATGATGGAGCTCATGCTCATTTGTTGTCCGTCTGACACCTTTCTGCCACTTGGGCGATGTTCCTCAGCTCGTTCCTGTGTTTCAGGCCGGGCCCTTAGCTTGGATTTTGGGTGCTGTCAACATAGGCAACCTAAGATTTGTCCATTCTGCGCTCACAGCCGGGCTTTTGGGATACCTGCCGCAGTAACAATTGGAATTGCAGGGCCACAGAGCGTTTTGCTGGACCCTGCGCAGGCAGAGAAGCGCCGGCCCCTGTCGGCGATTCCTGCGAGGACACGGGAGGCCTGCGAAGTTTGGAAGGCTGAGGGTGATGGACCAAGCTGGGAGACCAATTTTCCGCAATTCAATCGGACCAAACGTGGCCCCAAGTGGTCCCATTCTACGCTACTGCCCCAAGATTCGGTTTTGCAGGTTCAGGGAAGCCTCTTGGGTCGAATCAGGAGATAGGAGGAAACCGCTGCGAAAGTCGAAGGCCACACCCCTCTACCGTGTTGGAAGCAAGGCCTGCCACTTGCGGCTCGTCCCATCCTTCCTGACGGATCTACTTTTTGCGCGCTTGCTTGAGCGGCGTGCGTTTCTCCTGGAAGCTGCAGCTACCCTTGCCTGAGACCTTTTCTGACATCATTCGGCATTTCAGGTTCACAACAAGAGTTGTGGCAAAAGCTGAGGTACTTAGTTACTGGCCCCAAGTCTGTCGCAAGCCACACTTCTCAGGGTACCCAGCTGGACCAGATGGAGGCATGACGGGGTCTGGGGGGCGGGAGCTGGGCTTCGCAACTCCCATTCTCAAGCGAATCAATCTGATGGCGTGGTTGCTTTGTGACTACTTAAGCTCTTTTGTTCCTGCATATCCGGAATTTGCGTAGGTAGCTTCGTATTGTCATGCTGCTTTGTGCAAGGATCATTGTGACTCTTCATCGCGCACTTCCTTGGCGATTTTTTGAGATGGCTTCCTTCCAATGGTGCAATTCTTAGGTGGGAGGCATGACCTGCAACCCACATTCAATCTGAATCACCCCTTAGTCAGAAAATGGGGCGGGGTCCCATGTAGAGGTGATGCTTCACTGGGGGAAGCGCCCCATTCATCCGCCGGATGAATCCGGGGACGCTTGGGGGACCCTGCCTCAGGTTGCCATCCGACAGCCACGCCGCACGAAGAGCTCCGAGCGCCCCGAGCGCCCCGAGCGCACGAAGAGCTCTGAGCCCGGGCGCCGCTCGGAGGCGGTTTGGGGCGTTGCCGTGGTTTGGGATCCATGTGCCATAGAATAATAGAATGCCGCTTTTTTCTCCTGTCAAATGGGCAAACCTCGCAGGGAACATGGTGTAACGGCTTCCCCTTCAACTGGAAGGTTTGGGTGGGAATGGGCCTCGAAAGTCAGCCATTTTTCCCATGCACGCCACTGCTGAGTATGATGTAAGTCTTGCAAACAGACAGAAATCCCGTTGAAATTTGTAATGCTATTTCACCCTGCTCGTGCGGACTGACCCTGGTGCTGACGCTTTTCAAAGTGCGAGAGGCAGAAATATTATTTGAGGAGACGCCCGTAGCCACATTCAGGTGACCTTGAAGCGGATTGCCCTGGAGCAGCAATCAAGATACACGGATGCAAATCTAGCCGACAAAGCTGTACGCACAGGGCTGCCAGCAGTTGCGAATCTGACGGAAGCTGAAACTCCTTTTGTTGCCTTTCAGGGGCACTTTGACATTTACCAGAGCCCTGGAACTTTCTCCCGGCTTGATCCCTCAAAGAGCAACACATCAAGCTGTCCTGCACCGCTGTGGCCATGGCGCGCCCCATCCTCGGGACCATGACCTTCGGCGCGGAGGGCCAGGCGCATGGAACCCACAACTGCCCGCAACACCCTCATTGCATGAAAGCACTTGTTGGGGACCCCCCCTATTTCTCCAGATGGTTTTGTGGTGGACGCCCTCTCAGACGAAGACAAGTTGATCCCATTGGCTTGGGGAAAAACCGGCGCCCGCCACCCGGGCCGTTGGTTCCGTCAGGTTAAGCCTGAGGAGGCCTCGGTGCTCTTGCGGAGCTTTGTAGGGGCGGCGGCGGCCAAGGGGCCCCAAGGCGCTTTTGGGGGAAGGGCCTGGGTGGAGGTTGGGCTGGCAGGGAGTCAGGTGTTGACCAGTCCTGATGTTTCCCATGGACAACATTCCTTGCAGGTTCAATAGTCCCCTTCACTGGTGCAACCTGCGATGGGAGTTCTTTCGCACAGGGAAGCGAATGATTGCAGAATGCCCTTGTCATGACACAAGTCTGACCTCAGTGGTTACTTCTGGTCGAGCATTTACTTTTTTTCTTGTGGCAGGTGTCATGATTGACACGGCCCGCATCTATCAGAACGCCACGCCTGATGGGGACACAGAGACAACGCTTGGGCAGATCTTTCAGAGCAGCCCGTGGCTGTGCGGAGAGAGTGGGCTCCGTGTTGCCTGTGCTGACATCCCGGCCTCCCTTTGACACGGAATTTGTATGACGGGGGCAAACCAATTGCTTCTCTTCAAAGCTCACTTGTTCCAATCAAAGACTAGGTGAATGCAGTTAGGGACCTCCCACAAGTGTTTCGCCACATCTTTTGCGGGAAAGAGGGTGCGTTTCGCTGACGGACATGTGAGTCTTCGTGCGGTGTGCAGTCATTAGCTTTGCGCCACGAGGAAGGAGAGGCTGCACGCACCGTTTTGCCACCCGTGTGAATATATGTTTGTGTGGGGTGATTGCCGTTGTTATTGGGGTTGGTTTAAAGAAACGCCTGAGCAAACCACCACTCATTTTGGGGTGCGCCCCAGTTGGAGGGGTGCGAGCCTTTCGGGGTGGAGGAAAACAGGCAACCCAGGGAACACCCAAGCCATGGGCCCGTCGACGGGCTCAGGTCGATTCAGAAGCGCTGCCATCTGGCGACCAAAGCCACGCCTCAGTTTACTCTTTCGAAGGCACAGTCGTTTTGCCACGGGATTCGAATCGCTCAGGGTTTGCATCGCCCGGCGCGAGAGTTTGGTTCTTGGGTTTTAGAGTTGTATCGTTTGTGTTTGGAAAAGACGAACCAAGCGACTTAGTGGTTGGCCTTTGGGCGGGTTCATATTTTGCTTGTCGGGAAAGGCTGGTTTGAAAAAGCTACCACACCTGTGTCCCAAGAGTCTCAAGTACCGGCCTTGGGGTGCAAGTCGCCTGGCCCTGGAACTCGCTTTACAAGATGTGCTGTTCAATGGGGAATTCAAAAGCGAGAACAAAGCCTCCCAGCATTTCAGCTACCAAGAAGCTAAGATAGCAAGAAACACACCCAAACCGAAACACATGCGGCGATTTCTGTGTTTGGGGTCGCCTGACTTCAGTCAGTTTGGATGCCTCGGTGGGTATCGCGGGTATATTGCTGTTCGATGCACACCAATTGACAGCTTGATTGAACTCAGAACCCATCCTATCTGCACACGGACCATGAGCTGCTACTTCAGGCAAAAAGTGCAGAATTGGCCAGATCCGGTTTCTCGGCAAGTTGCGGCGGCCTTGCGGGACTTGGGGTGTATCGACTTAGGCCCTTCCCTTATCATTTCTAGTTGTTCAGTGGGACCATTTGTTTTTGGGGTTTGGCGGTCGTCAGCCCAAAAGGGGTTTTCCCATTTTCTGCCATGGCCACTTGTCGTGGAGTTTTGTAGGTGAGTCCAACGCCTCCCGCGCCAGAAGTCCATCATAGAGCAGTGCAACGTGTCCCTGTCGAAGCTGGGTGTCGATTGCCTGGACCTGTTTTACCTGCATGGCCCAGACGTCAAGACCGACATGAATGACACTCTGGATGGTATTGAGGCCTTCGGCAGCGGTCGTAGCGGGGGGGATGATCCTCATAGAACGTACCTGATGAGGGAAAAGTTTCCAAATCTAGCAACTATGGAGTTGGCATATTTGGTGGTATAGTCAGGTATAGTCCTCTAGCCCGCCCGTGCTTTTGAGTCCCAAAAGGCATTGCACAAAGAGGGGAAGTTCAAGGAGTTCGGCCTCTCCAACTACCCCGCATGGGCGGTGGTGGACATTTGGTACCGCTGTAACTTGGCATGGCCATGCTTGGCAAGCGCCTGTTTTTTCCGTCGGAACTTCAAATGCCAATGCCCTTTTCAAATTAGTTCCCCCCCCCCTTGTCGGTGGCGGTGACCCCAAGGAAGAAGCAGTAGCAGTACATTCGCGTTACGTTACATGTTCACCATGGGGTGTGGAAGGTCAGAGGATAATCAAGTTTTGGACGGAGCAGAGGCAAGCCAGTTTGCCATGACTGTTTTGGGCAGGGTGCATGATGGATGCCGCAAGCAAGGCAAAAACCGTGGCATGGTGCTGCCTACTGTCTACCAGGGTGCCTACAATGTCATCACCCGCGACATGGAGCGGGAGATTGTGCCAGTAGCGCGCCATTTTGGCCTTCGGCTGTATATGTACAACCCGTTGGCAGGCGGCCTGCTGTCTGGTCGCTACAAGATGCTTGGGAGCAGAGGGCTGGCGGGCTGATGCCACTCATGACGAGCTCTTGCGCAAGAAGAGGGGTATATTATAAATTATATATATATATATATTATATATATATATATATATGGATAAATGTAAAAAATATAATTTATATATGCACATTGTTCTAACCCAGGTGAGTCCTTGGACGCTGTTTGGGTTGGGTTGCGTTTCTAGCGCATATGTTTGGGTATAGGGTATGAGCCACTGGGATTCCCCTACATGCACATGCCATGCTTGGTGTTGCGGTGCATGCGGCAGTCGCTCTTTGCCAAATTAAATTTGCATGATAGCCCGTGCCTTTTCCCAGTGTTTGGAAGCTTTCCAGCCCGACAAGGGATCAAATAGTCGTTGGCTTTGCAGATGGTGGTTCATCACCCAGGACGCAGGAGGACATTCTGACCGCAAGCAGCGGGCGCTTCTCCAGCGAGTTTGACAAGGCCTTCGGCACGTCCATGAAGGCAGGCACGGACGTGTACAGGCAACGGTACGCGAAGCTGGGCTGAATTCAGGGGACAACGTTGTTAATGTGCATGACATGACATGAGGAATGGATGGAGAGGCTTATGTTGGTGTAGTAGGGATGGGAGTTCCTTGCCAATGAAATTCGAGGGAAGTTAGGACGCCGAGAAAGATTCTCAGAACCCGTAGTTAGACTCGCATGGCCAAGAAGCGTTTCTGGGCGATGCGGGGACCTTTGAGCACACATCATCATATAACGGTTATGTCAATCCAAATTCCGCAGCCTCTAAGTGATTTATGAGGGGGTGTACCCCGGATGAAGAACTGCCCACATTCCTGAAATCTGTGTGCCAAGAACGGCCAGCTGAGGCACGATGTCACCTTCAAAGGACTGGGGGTCCTTCTGGCGGCCTGCGCGCAAGAGCCAGACGCTCCCTGCCCGACGGTAGTGGAGGACGCGGGTCAACGCACCAATTTGCGCGGTTGGTTCCCTGCTTAATGAAAGCCATCCCAAAAAGGGGCACTGCCCTTGTCCTGTGGGTGAGCACTATACCACAAACAAACATACCCATGGTTATTCGCAGTGTTTTCTGAGCTTTGCAGTGCTAAAACTACATCCCAGGGAGCACCCCTTCTGTTTCAAAATAGGGATTCCCGTGCAATTCCGTGTTTCTGGGCAACGGGGTAGGCCCCAGTGGATTCAGATCGATTGGCACGGCCTGATCTGAAAAGAGATCCCCAGCAATAAGTCGGGGGTTCTCGCTGGAAGACAGGAATTCATATTAAAATAAGAGGCACCCAGTTTGTTTGCCATGACTGGATGCAACGCTAGAGAGGGAGAGAGAGAGGGTTTGTTTTGTTCAAGGCCAGGACCCTTTGATCCTTGTATAGCTAAGTAGGCACCAAAATATATAGGGCAAACACCAGGGCACCGTTGCCCTGTAATGGCGCCGAAATCGGTTTGAGGACACCACGAAGGAGGTGGATGGCCGCAAGGTCCGCCTGGTAGTCTCCGAATCTGTGGAGAAAGCTCCCCCAAAGGGTCCATCGCTGGCGGAGGTGGCGCTCAGGTGGCTCATCCACCACTCATACCTGAGCCTTGGAGGTGTTCGCCTTTTTTTTTCACCGGTCCACTTCTACAACAAGCTAAACGAGGGAGGCAAGAGATCTACGTCCAAAGAGTTTCCTTGAGGAGCGCATTGACAGCCATTCTCGCGGATGGTTTTTCACATTTGCATTGGAAGCCAAACCGGAGCCAACCATTTGAGTCAGATTGAACTGCAGAATTGGGTGTCTCCTCAAACTTGCTTTGGGATTGAGTTTCTTTGAGTATTTGTGCACCATCGTTCAAAAAGAGCATTTTGCAAAGGTCACATTAGTGGACCCATTGCGGGCGAGCCATCTCAAATGCATGTTTGTTGTTCAATTTGCGCGACCTTCAAGTGGAAGTCGCCATAGTCTTCAACAGCAACCGCACACACACACACACATGCTCAGAATCAGTAATTGCTGTAGCTGACTTTTGGTAGGGAGCTAGGGCCTTTTGGCCTTTGCTCAGCCGACATGGCTTCGACCTTTCCCAGCAGGGCTGCGAGATTTTGCGACCCGGCAAACTTGCCTCCAGACTTGAACTGGATACCAGTATGGGGAAGGTCAAGCCGGAAAGCCGTTGCCACCTCTTGCTCTTTCAAGGCAGATTTTCGCCCGGCTTCCTTTGCCCACCTGGCTATGGCTCAGGACAAGTTGCGATGGCATTATCATCGGCGCCTCCAAGAACGAGCATTTGGTCGCCAACTTGGCCGCCTGGCAAGCTGGCCCCTTGCCAAAGCATCTCGGCCAGCAGACGACCTGCAGCCTGCGGAAGTGGAGCCGTCAGACGTGGGACGTGAGCCACGATCAAGACCGGGTGGGTAAGTCCTGCGTACAGGAAGGCAATCAAGCAGTAATCCCAACCATAAAACCTTCTGGGGGCGCGGCTCTCTTCTTGTTTCACCGTGTTCATGGAGCCCTTCAACATTTTTTGTGACTCGTGTGACGTTGCCACGTCTTCATTCTTTGGAAACTGCGCTATGTCTGGTTGCATACGCATGGGGACTTGCTCCCAGACAGGCTGCATATTTGCAAGGGGACGTAAGCCCTCCACAGCACTTAGCATGTACTGCCCTGCGCTGTTTGTTTTGCCCTGTTCCAAGCCAATCCCCCGCCTTGAAGTGATTTGTGTCACCTCGCCGCGACACGGCCTTCCAGACATTCTGGCCTTTGAGTGCAGAAAGCCCTCGAGTTGAAAGGCAATCCAAACCTAGTTTTAGGTCCCCCGTTCGTGGTTGGACTGCAGTTGAGTGAAAGTAGACGGATCAATGTCCTCCATTTCGAGATTTAGTCACTTTGCTTGCCATCGACTTTCACCCCTCAGCGACCCCACCCCCCCCACTGCCCCCCCCCGCCACTGCTCACTCCTCGGGCTGGGAAGTCGGACGCCCAGGCACCTGCTGGAGGCCTGTGAGGAGGCCTGGTCCTTGGCGCGCCCCGCCTGCGAGAGCTACTTCCGGGGCTACGGCAAGCGCCCCGGGGGCATCGAGCAGTTCTTGGCGCTCCAGGCGAGCGCAAGCCGTTGGTTGCTTGGGGGGGGAGGGCGTGGGGGGTTGAGGCAGACGGCCTTGCCAGGTGCTGCTGTTTGCATCTCTTGACTCTTTACATGGTTTCGGTAGTTGGACTCTCTGATGCCGTATGATGCCATGTTGTTATGACTCAAATCGGCTTGGAGACCTGGGGGGGTCAACATGAGATAGACAGATTGTCAGGTTTGCACAGCACGAGCCAGCGAGAAGGCCCAGTTTGCCGCGTGCCCCGAGCCCGAGGAGCCCAAGGGGCCGCCCAAGAAGGCAAGGGCTGAGTGACCTGGGCGATCGGGCGATCGGGCGATCGTCGTCACGGAGAAGGTTCGGTCGATATCTCCAGTCCTTGGAGCGGCATGGGACGCTTGAACAAAGACACCAGGCACAGGCACGCAGATATTTTCAGCCCATGCTGCTCGATGCAACTGCACGATGTGACTGTGGCAAGGAGTGGTGAAAGTCCGCGCTTCGGAGAAAAGGAGGTTGGCTGTTTGGGCACTCGCTGGGTGATGTCGCTGTTGGCGCGGTCTTGTAGTCTGGCAGGCTGGCATTCTGATGCGAGCCGTTCACCATTGTCTTTTCCATGGCCGCAGCATTCTGAAAGATGTGCTTCCCCAAAGAGGGTCCTGCTGCAAAAAGCAAGCCACTCCCCTCCACCAAAAGAAATGAAATTTGGGCGTGTCGTTTTCGACGACATCCTGCTTGGAGCCCAGGAAAGCGCAGCAAGAGCACCCTGAGTCGCGATCTTCTCCGATTGCTTCGGCCAGAGGCAAGTTGTGGCTTGCGGGGAGAGGGCAGGGCTGTAAGAAGCGGACAGTTTTGCTCTCTCTGACCTTTCACCTTTTGGTTTTCGCTTTCGAGATCACGCTAGGCTGACCTTTGACACCTGGGGTCCTTTGGACAAGCGAGTTGCTCGCTTAAATAAGCCATACTTGCGGACATTCCCCTAAAAGAATCCGTGGTGGCCGAGAATCGTTGAACCCCGCCCCTTTTCCCTATTTAGCACCCAGAAGGCCCAGACTGTTCTGCCCAATCCTAAGACTGCGAACTTCATGGCATCTTTGCGCCTTTGGCAGCTGGTCAAGATGATCCTTTCCGAACGTGAATTTAGGCGCTGGAAGACCCCCAAAGACGGTTGAAGGCACATTTCCACAAAGATGATGCCTACAGAACATCCCCATACCCGCGCAGCATAAGACGCATGCACAAGCAGCGGCAAACACAAGCGCCCCTGCGCATCAGGAGCACAAGGCTTGGGCAGCGCTGGAACAATGGAAGCTGAGACTTTGGCTGCAACAGATGGGGTGAAGCCAGCGTTGTAATCGTGGAATGCAGCCGGGGCTTGTTTCTGTCGCTCAACTGTGCCAGGCAGGAGGTTGCTAGGAGCCGGGTAGCGGCGTTCATTCCATGGTGGGAAGTAGTGTTCTGTGAAGATGGGAGCAAGGTTCCCAGCTGATCCCGCTTTTGGCTATGTCTCCAAGCCAGAACTAGGATGATTAGTGCCCATTTCAGCCAAGTTCAGTGCTCACTGGAAACTCGCCTGGTGCTTGCGTGTGAACAGGTTAATTGCTTATTCCATGGCAGTGTGTCCTATGATTTGGGCACATCGGCCCGTTCATGAATCATGATTTCTGGTTAGTTAGACAATGACAATGCTTGACGCTGCCGCCCACTCCCGTTTGCAGCATTAAGGAACCAATCTTCAGACTCGACCCTTGGCTGCAGCCCTGCTGGTTGGGAGGCAGGCAGGCAGGCAGGCAGGCAGGCGGGCGGGCGGGCGGGCGGGCGGGCGGGCAGGCAGGCAGGCAGGCAGGCAGGCAGGAGAGAGACAGAGAGACCGAGGGACAGAGGGACAGAGGGACAGAGGGACAGAGGGACAGAGGGACAGAGGGACAGAGGGACAGAGGGACAGAGGGACAGAGGGACAGAGGGACAGAGGGACAGAGGGACAGAGAGACAGAGAGACAGAGAGACAGAGAGACAGAGAGACAGAGAGACAGAGACAGACAGAGACAGAGACACCGACTCAGACACACAGACACACACCCACACGCACACAAACAGACACAGAGAGAGAGAGAGAGAGAAACACCCACAGAGACACAGAGTCACGCAAAGAAATCGACCATCAGACGAGCAAGCAAGCAAGCAAGCAAACGAATCGACAAACAGACACACAGAGAGGCAGAGACGGAGACGGAGACAGAGACAGGACAGGCAGACGCACACCCCAGCAAGCAAGCAAACGACCAATCAAACACAAACAAACTCAGTTTGTTTTAGAGGCATATGTGCAGCATTCACAACCACAATTGTGTGCATGTGTGTGTGTGTGTGTTGATTACCGTTTTGTGAGTCTAACTGTAAACATACTATAATGTATCTTATGTATGTATGTGATGTATGCAGTATTGGTTTGTTGATCTATCCATCTATCTATCCATGCATCCATGTATCCATCCATCTATCTATTTATCTATCTATCTATCTATTTGTTTGTCTAGCTATGTCTACGCATGAGGCATTCGTAGACGACACATTTGGCCCGCCCATGCTGATGCTGGGTTTGCATAGCATATTTGCCTAGCGAATAGCCAGGTGGGGACTCAATGTTTGAAGCACCTTCTGCCGGGACTCGAGCACAGCGGGGCAGAGTACGCAAATCAGAGTTCAGAGCACAAAAACATGTTTCCTAAACTTCCCTGAAAACATCATCCTGCCAAGGGAACGCGCCTTAAATTAGCCGCACAGGCGATCCTTACAAGCACCACATAGGCAAATAGAGACCCGTGACAGATCTTAATGCAAGAAAACCACAGATGCCAGTTCTGTGTTGTTCCAGGGAACTGCCCTTCAAATCAACATGAGGCGTGTCAATCCAGAACTAGTGTTGCTTTGTGAGAGGCACGTGTTTCTTCATAGGGTAATCTTCGCCCAACCAGTCTTACTCTCTTCAGATTGTTCTCTTGGAAGGAGTGCAGGCAGCTCACAAGACTGCCAGGCCTGCCTCCTGCTTGTCACTGCTATGCCCTTTAGTTGCTAGAGCTAGAAACCAGAGGCACGGCGCTCGAATTCAGATTTAGCGCAACTTTCTGCCATGACACACAAGCGCCCCAATTTGCATCACAAGAATCATTAGCATTGGCAGAGATGCCGAAGTCCGGCCCTTTGCATCCATTTGCTTGAGGGGATTTATTCTGTTCCCCGTCCCCTGGTATTTTTTGGGACACGGTCATGACGGGGAACGCACAATTTGCGGAGCCCGCAGCAGAGGGCGGCCACGTTTGGTCGTTAGGAGCGCCTCACCGGACGTGGAGCTGCGGCCACCGGCCGCTTGCCGAAAGTCAAAGCCGGCGGTCCAAACGAGCCTTTCGTTTGTTTGACCCTCAGATTGAGGGTTTAGATTGGTGACTTAGGGGCGGCTTCCCATTCTGTTTCAAAGGGATCAATTTAACTCCCCAAATCCAAGCCAGTTCAAAAATGAGTCGCCTTTGGGCAGGGTGTTTGGGATGGAAGCACGTGGATTGAAGGTTGAGTAGTGTGTGGGATGCCATCAATCTCGCTAACTGCGGCTTTCACTGCAAGGTCAAGCCATTTAGTGTTGAACCCTGCATAAAAGCCTGCCGGATCAATAGGGGATGCTCACCCGAAAGTGAAGGATCCCCTATTGAAAGGGTTCGTCGTTGATTGATTGCGCCAGGCCCTCCCCCGACACATGCGAAAGGCCTTGGGCCAGCTGGAGGCTGCGGAGACCGCGCAAGGCGTGGGGCTCGGAAGGCGTCTTGTCCAGGCCACCTGTGACTTCACAAGCAGCAAGTAAACAAAGGAGGCAGGAAGCAAGCAAAGAAAGTAATGGAAGAAGGCAAACGTAAGTTCTACGTTCCCTGCAACTATAAATAGTACTCGTGAGGAAGATATGGATGTGACGTGTGTTTTTTCCTAGGTCGAAGAGGCTGCATGAGTGTTGGTTGCGGAAGCGCATGGCCCCACTGGATGGCTTCTACAAAGTTTTGGCGTTTCCATCGCAACAAGCAGGAAGCCCGGCGCCCTCAGGCGTACATGGAGCGACGCAGCTCGGCTGCAGGGGGCGCATCCCAGACATCGTTCAGTACTCCGTTTGGGTCTCTCTTTGTTTGGGGGTGTCCCGATGTCCCCTTTGGCTCAGGGGCAAACCAAGGAAGCCCCGCCACATTCAAGCGGTCCCCAGTTCTGAGTGTCAACAGTTGAGATGAGAAGAGTCCTAAACGACTGCTGAAAAGCCGCATTTACAATCCTCAGACGACACTCCTGTTGGACAGGTCAACTGTGCATTTCGTATTTTGTTGCTGGGAGGGCATGGGTTGAGGTACATTGACTTCCAACCAAGTCGGGGGATACGGGCATCAGTTAAGGGGGTACGTGGCCCAACATTCCCCCTGGATCCTTGCGGCATGACATGGTGGTTTAAACATCCAGTGGAGGAAGCTTGTACCCCTTGCCAGCAGTCGGACCCGCCGGGGCTTCATGACAACCAGGCGACTTGGGGGCGGAGTTTGGAGGGCAGCGAAAGATGGAGCTTCATTTTGCTCAGGGCAAAGCTGGCCTGGGGCGAAGCAGGGCAAGAAGGACACGGGGCTGTTGTATGCCTCCCGGGTCATCGGCTAGATTGATTTCAAGATTCTTTGGAGAGAGAGAAAGAGAGAGAGAGAGAGAGAGAAACACATGTAAACTGTTCGCCAAGAATTCTTTGGCCAAGGGACTTCTTTTGGCTTACTGCCAAATACCGTTCAAAAGCCGCAAACGCCTTCCACGTATCAATTTCAAGGACGTCACTTGGGCTCTTCAACTGGGCCAGGCTTTAGGATTCGGGCGGCTCGGGCTCGCCTCAGGAGCTGATGTGACGCTTGGCTTCACAAGCCAAATCTACGCCCGGGCTCGCGGCCGCGCAGACCCAGTCACAATCCAAAAGTTGCTTGTGTTGTTTCTGGTTGTATGGCTAGGATGTCCTTAATGATTTGGGTTGCTATTTGCACCGAAGCAGGTCAATTTTGGCACTCAAGTGTGTTGCTCTCTGTGTTGTTGGTTTGCAGGCCAGCTGGCTTGCTCGCCTGATTCCTTGCTCTGCTGCTCCCTTGGCTCTTTTGTCTATGGCGCTCTATTCTGAGAGTTGCTGGTGCAAGCCAGGCCGACGGTGTGCACCAGAATCGGCCTGCATTTGTTCCACCATGCGACAAGCCCTTGCTTGGGGCCTGTTATTCTGAACGCTTAGGAGCCCGTCGAAATGCACACCTCCTACGCGGCGTGACTCTGCGACTTGTATGCACGGAATGCTGATCACAGAAGTGATTTACTTGGCACCCTGCCCAACTTTGTGGCACACATTTTGCAGCGAAGATGTGTCGCAAGGGACCAGAGCTTACTGCAAAATGAGTTGATGGTGCCGAGCCGCACGGGCACAGTTCTTTGCCGAAGTGCGCAGATTGTTGGCGCATCTCTGGTGGGCCTGGGGTCCCGCGGTTCTGTCGCTGGAGGCACCGCCGCACCGCCTTCTCTTTTACGGCAACTGGTAAATGGCGCCCTGTCATCTCTTTAACACAGCAGCCAGAGCAAGTTTCCAACATGGGTTTAAAAGAACACGTTTTTCTTGGTGCGATTACACATTTTCAGAAGCACCGCTTCCATGTCTCTGATCAGATTGGCCTTCCAAGGCTTGACGCACTGAGAATGAACACGCCAGTCCGCACCGGCTGTTCAGAGGGTGTTCTTGTTGAAGTGTAGTCAAAGGTTGTGCCACGCAGAGCGGCCTGCGGGTAAGTACAGGTTCAATAGTCTTGACCATCCGGCGCCTTCTGGCTTCTTTGTTTCATCTCTGCACCGCCGAAAATGCAACGCAGCAAATAAGTTGAAGGGTTGTCCAGCTCATACTGTTCCTTGACTTTATTGCCTAGCATTCTGTGTGCAGAGAAGGGACATTTGGATGCCTTGCTCCCCAAACAGATTCTCATATTTTTGGCACCCGGTTCCAAGAACCTTTTCAGGGACCTGCTGGGTGTGCGAACCTCACCGCTCCCAGGGCGACCAGCGCTTGGGCGCGGAGCTCCAGCGGGCCCTAAACTATGGGCGCTGCGAGGCAGAAAACGGGGCTGGGGCTGGGGCTGGCCCTCAAACCTGACGTTCTTCAGGACTCACTTGTCCAAAGCCGAAACTTTTGACAATTGGTTGTTCACTGTTTGGCTCCTGGCTAGTCTCCAAAGAGTTAACATGTGTTCATCAGTTGCAGCCCCTGTGGGCAAATGAGGGGGTCCTGGGAGTTCCTCTTTTTCAGAAGTTCCTTTCCATGCTAGTCAAAATGAATACCAGCCCAACACAAATTTCCACCACGCCCCCTGCAACACTGTTCACGTTGAACAGGATCCAGTGTATAATTGGTTCCAACACATGGCAAGAATTCTGCAGAAGCCTCACCAGTCGCATTGGGCAGCCCATACACGTTCCCGGACTCCAAGCAGACCCAAGCAGGAGACGGCAAAAAACACAGTTCCTTACCTTTCCCCACCGTAGACTCGACCGGACACATGTTAGATGCGACAACAAGTGGCAATCTTTTGCAGGCAGGTTTTCCCAAAGCTTCAGCAAGGCAAGGGCTGAGTTTGTATAGAGAGTGCAGAGATGAACGGCCGTGTGATTCTGCCACTTATCAGTTGTCGACGACGTGTCCCTGCTCGAGTGGGCCACAGTATCGAATCCGGTACTTGAGATGACATTTGAAGCCTGGGCAGCTTTTTCACTCCGACTTCTCGCGCCTGCCAGGCGGCGAGACGTATCCAGCGTGCCTATCGCAAGCACCGTTGCTTGCGGCAAGCTTCAGCTCGAGAGCGCGCCCGCCACTTGCTTGTTTCCATTGGCTCTTTGGTAGCGAAGCAGTATCGAAATGGCCAAACCTTGTGGCCTTGAAAGGGAGAGGTTGATGATATTGTTGATTTGCAAGTTGTTCTAGTCCATGGCTTTCAATGTTGGAGAACCCAATCGCTGACATGCACGCACTCAGGCAAAGACCGCGAGCGCGCCAGATCCCAGCACGCTGATGCAGGCAAGTTTCGCATGGCGCAGACATTCTCTGCTCATGACCAGGTCAGCTGGGGTGTAGTGCCGCAGTGGTTGAGAACTGACTTGTGCATCATGCTCCCGGCTATTAGCCAAGAGCAGAACAATGCATTCACTTGCAACTGGCAGGTGTTTGGAATTTGGCTCCCGTGGTTCAAAATTATATTGCGTATGTATATACTGCGTGCACACATGTTTGTGTATGTGTGTGTGTGTGTTGCGCGCGTGTGTTTGCTTCATTTCTATTGGGCCCTGTTTGCTCTCAAATGCAAACAGCGTTGAAGCAAGGCCTCATTCAAGCTAAGTGAGGCAACCCTGCTACGTGGCAGTCTGTGCAGGTCGGTCAGGCGAGCAGCCGCTCTCAAGGCTGGCAGGTTGTGGTGTTGTCTGCTGGGGATGATCGCACCAGAGCCGGATCCAGATCCACGTAAAATTGCGCTGATCGAATCCCAATACTTGTTTTTCTTTAAATATAGCAATTGTTTGGCTGACTTTCTGTGGTTGGAGCATTTTTGTTTGGGGGGGGTAAGGGGAGGGGGGCTTCTTGCCAGCTTCCCAATTGAAAGGCTTGGCGCAGCTTGGCGACATGGGACTGCCAGGCCAGCACCCCCTTTGGCGCGGCCCAAGGCTTCGGGGCTGGCAGGCAGGGAGCTGGCGGCAAGCAGAGGCGTTTTGACATCTCCACTTTGGGGTGGTTTCAAGATCAGCTGATGGGCCGTGTACAAAGGAGCTTCTTTCTGGCGCGGTGGCGGTTGAAAGGGACACGAAACCCTGTAATTAAAGTTGAAGAGCGGCTGGAAGTGTTTGATTTATTTCTATTTCCCCTTTTATGGGACGATTGCAAGGGTGGTTGATTGGGGGGTGGCTTGATGACCTGACCTCTACAACCATGTTTGTTGGATAGGTTGGTGTCTCCTTTTTCGTTTCTTTTTCAAGCTCCGAAATGAGTGGCCCAACCCCAACAAGGCCCAGGCCTCATCGTGTGGCACTCACCGCGATGTTCGACGCCAGGGCTCCCGGGCCGCAGCCTGCCCAATTTGGGCAGTGCCCCTCGGCCTTGCCGCAGGTCCAAGTTTCCACGCAGAAGGTCCAAGTCCTGAGACCCTGAGTTGGCGGCTCTTGGTAATTTTGGTAGGGGGGGGAACCTGACATGTTTTGTTTGTTGCCAGCTGTTGTTGCAGAACTCGCCTGACCGTTCAATCTCTAGTGCTTGGGATATCGAATCTCAAAGTGCACGCTTTAGGCAGGACATGCGCCAAACGTTGAGCTCCAGCCATGTAAATGAAGGTTTCTGCACGAAGCCTTTGCACCTTGTGGCGGCTTCACGTTTCTAAACCCTCCACCTGGGCGTGCAAACTTCCCAAAATTGCCGGCCAAACTGCTCACTCATATCAGTCAAGAGGCATGCGCTTTTGCATTTGCTGAGGCCACGTCACTGGGGGCAGGGCAACAAGCGGCACACGTGGCTCCGACAGAAGTGCAACGCACCCGCCTTTCGCAAGGCAAGTGCTGGAGGGTTGTGAGTGGCTTTTCTGCTTGCTTGCTTCAACCACAGCTGGCCTTTCAGATCAGTTTGCTTGAAATTATACGGGTTCTGGTTTCACTTTTCTATCCCTTCACTGGTGCCCAGCTATTTTCCCAAAGGGGCAAGGCCTTCGGCACGCGGCGTGGAGGCGTCGAGCAGCGGGGCGGCAGGGCGAGCGCGACGCAGGCGAGGCGCCCTGAGCTGGGTGCTAAATAGCACCTTCATTTTAGCTTACGCAAAGGGAAACCAAAGCGGGATGAGACTACAATTGTTCGTGTTTTTGCCGGATGCCCTGTTTAGCACCCTTTGTTTGCCTTCTTCGCCAATGATCACTGACAAGAACTCAAAGGTTTCATTGCTCTTGTCTAATCGACGGTGTTGGTTTTCACTTGCCTCCCTCCTATCGCAAGCAAAATCCTATAGGACAAACGGAGCGGGGTTGCAGAGCCAAGCAAACAGTGTGCAACTGCCCTTTGGAGAGGACCAGACATTCGGAATTGTGGGACCCCCATCTATCCAACCCCACGCGCCCTTCAGGCTTCCGGCCGGCGACGGGCAGCCCTGAAGATCCAGGCTGGACCGCATGGCGCTCCTTTGTTGCTTCGTAGTAGGGCGCTCTCGCCAGCTGATCAGAGAGAGAGAGAGGGAGCTGAGTAGTTTTGATGTTGTCACTTCAATGGACCCAGTCTGTGGAACATATGAAGGCAGGGGCAGGGGCAAGGCTCGCTGCATCAGCCTTGACAACTTATGAACGTTACAGCCGCAAATTCTAGTTTGGCATCGTTGTCTAATTTCAAAACAAGTTCGAAGACGCATTTGGATGGTATGCCACCTTTTTTGAGGGTCCCCGTCCCCGCCATTTTAGGAAGCAAATAATTTTGAAGGACATTCGACTCAGTTGGTCACAAAGCTGCCCCTTACGCTGGTCACTGGGCAACTGCGTCAAGGGAACCCGCCCAAAAATTGGAATCGAGCCCAATGCTGAGGGTTTTATCCGGGATTGCACCCTGGGATTACACCCTTGGGAAATGACCCAAAATGGTTCAAAATAACACGGTTTTATACGGAAATGTGCCTAAATGGGGTCAATAACCAGTGGGTATTTTCCCAGGCAGGGTGTAATACAAAAACCCTTAGACCAATGCACCCGAAGTGCTGGCAGGCGGCTTGGGCCCGCTTCCGGCAGCGGCTGGGGAGGAGCCGGGCGCTACTGCTGCAGGGCCTGGTGAGGCAGGGCCCGGTCAAAACAACCCAGGACCTAGGCTGGTAGGGATTGTCATGTGAAAGTTATGGTTGAGGTTGACCAACGGGCAACGTTTAAAAACAATCGAGTTGTCGAGGGCGACCGACCCCGCCAAAGTTCGTGGGTTCCACGAGCGAAATTAACAGTGCAACAGAGTTGTTTGAGGTCGACCCGCGAAAGTCCGAGAAGGCTCACTGTTTGAAGGTTGCTCCGGTGACTGAGATTGATCCGAGCATGGTTCCGTCGGGCGTCGCGATCAAGGTTTGCACTTGCATAACTTTTTCTATCTCCGGCCCTTCCAGCCCTTGAGATTTCATTCTGTTCTCGCATCGGTTCCTCGGAGAGATGACAGCTCAGATAGCTCCCGTATGCCGTATGACGGCAGTGTTTGATGCGCACCGGATTAGTTCCAAAACTTGAAAGAAGGCAGCCCCAAGTAAGGCAGTTCGATTGGTGAGATCGTTGTGCAGGATCGATCAAACTCACACGCCCCCCCCCCCCCCAAACGTATACCAGTTTCAATAGCGTGCAACAAGGGTCCCCAACTTGGATCAATGTCCATGTTTTTCTAGGCGGGGCTTCCCATGTTCAAGCAGTGTGTTCCAATACCTTTTCCCCTTGTAACATTGTGGGCAACAACATACTGCATTCAATGCAGGGGGTACTGTACCCCTTTGTTTGCTGCGAGCGGGTGCTACCTCAAGTCATGCAGTCATGCAGATCTCACATAGTTTTACGTCTTGTGCTTCTACGCCCCTCATGGCGTGCGGGTTCTTAATTCACTTCGGCTAGCTAAGCGGAATTAGTCATTGGCAACATTGCTGTGCAATTGCCCTTCTACCAACAAGCATAGAAGTGCACAGGCCCCTCTTGTTCTCGGGGGGCCTTTGCACTTCCAGGTTTGGTTTGTGTGGGCAATAGGGTGCTTGTAGCAATAAGTGTGATGTGTGTTGTCCCACAGGTGAAGAGGGAATTTGGCTTTGCTGCTAAGGGCCTCCTTGCAGCTGCGGCAGCTCTCGGAGCAGATGGCAGCAGCTAGGCGCCGTGGTTCACAGAGTGGCTTACGGCTGCTAGACCTGCAACTCCCGGTGGCTGCTACATGGAATGCCCAAGAGCCATCGCGCTATCTACTGGCCAAGCATCGTCAAACAAGTCTAGTCTAGTCAAACGAAAATGTATTGCTGTTTGTTTCGGGCCTGGCGCCGCAAGATCTAAGATCTCCCCAAAGAATGCAGATCCAGCGGCACGGGGGCCAGGCCCACAGTCACCAAATGAGTTGAGCATGCTGCAAGCAATGGCTCCAAGGACACGCCCTGCCAAAGAAGGGATGGTCGATCAACAGCGCTGACTCTTCTGGATTTGGAAATATGGATACCTGATGCCTAGCACAAATGGTTGTTTTCAAGAACCTGGGAGTCCCCAACATGATTGGTGTTCACTTGATTTACCTCAATAACGAACCAGGACTGAATTGGCCGCCTCATTTTGGAAACACCCAACTCTATGCGGGTGAGGCGCATCCAGCGCTGCTACCGTCGTCATTGGAGCAAGGCACATCGGAGCAAGTCGCTGAAGGACTGCCCTTATGTCACTACCACCGCTGCCTTAAGCATCATGGCAGCGCGCCTCGCTTCGGCCTTTCCAGAACTCCAGAACGGCTGTTTGGCCTGCAGAATCAACAGCACAGCAGGTTTGGGGCTTGAGCAAGCCGCACGTGTTTGGGCACAGCCTACTGCCTTGGGCTTTCCATAGTCTTGGGAAGATCTGGGAGGTTTGGTTGTGCCAATGACACATGATTTGGAATAATTGTGTAGTGCATGGACTGCTTTTGCCATTTGCCACGCCATGCCTTGATATGCAGCATTCTGCTTGAACATGAGTGCACAAATTCGTGATAACGCGTGCAAGAAAGCAAACCTTGGCAGAAAGTGCATCAGCCATGTCCACCAGCCTTGGGGGGTTGCCAGTTGCCGGGACCCGACCTCCGCAGGATCGAATGAGTGCGTCATTGTAACCTTGCCAGCGCAGGAGCGGGCAAGTGCTGCCACGCAGCTGCAAGCGTCCTGGCGAGGAGTTTTGCAACGCCGTGTTGTACAGCAAAAGCGTCAGGAGCATTGGGACGCGTGACGGAGAGAGATTGGGAGCCAGTGAGCTCAAAGACATGTGTTCACTATTGTCCTTACGCAATTGACTGGCAGCCTTCATGTTGCATTTGCATTTTGTCTTTGTCAAAATGTTCACTCTGTCACTATCTATTAGGCCGTCCTCTCTGTGGCCACCAGTTTGGTTTTGTTTGATACGGCCTGTGAGCGGGACAGCGGTAGGAGCAGCAGCTGTGTACTGACTCTGCGACAAAGCTTCAGTCATTGTGGCGTGGACATAGCGGGCGGCAGAAGAGCAGACAGGCGGGGATGACTCGATTGCTTGTTTGCTTGCTTGTCCTTTTGGTGTGTTTGTTTGTTTGCTCGCTCGCTGGCTTGGTTGTTAGTTAGTTAGCCAGTTAGCTAGTTTGTTTGTGTGTTTGTTTGCTTGTTTGCTTGCTTGCTTGCTTGTTTGTTTATTGTTGTTTGTTTGTGTGTTTGTTTTCGTGGTCAATGTTTGCTTGTGTGGTTCTTAGCCTTTGACAGTGTTATCACTGTTGGAGGCGGAGATGCATGTAGAGCACACCCGTGCAATACTCAACCTATGAGACAAGTTTTGAGTGGACCCTAGGAAGCGACTGAACCTTTGATGGATCTACCATCAGCATTGCCATGATGTGTACACACCGCATATCTCCAACAGCATGGCACGGGCCCCCTCAAACTCCAAATTTAGTGCGGCGCCGGACAAAGAGTCTCCGGTGGTAAGGGATCCCCGTGCAGGCCGGGAGGAAAACAAGGATCAGTTAAACTTTGAACAGACCCCTTGACTCAATTCCCGGAGACAAAAACATTCCTCTATACAAAAGCGAACTTTTTTGAGGTTCCATGTTAGTGTGATCGGATTTGTCCGGTATGCTTCGCCAGCTTTTTCCAGGAGCACCTCCGGCGGGCGAGCTCTGCCACAAAGCTGCAATCGCGTTGGCGAAGGCACCAGCAGCGGAGGATTAAGAAGGCAGCCATGGGTGCGCGAGCGGTGAGAGAAGGAGTCAACTGTGGTGAGTAAAGAGGTTTCATAGACGTCTTACACAATTGTCAGCTGCAAATGAACTGCCAATTGGGGAAATCTTTGCTAAACCCTGCACAAAGCCAACTAGGCTGACGTCGGTACCAGCGAAGATGTGCAGCTGCCGATTCCCCAAGAGGACGATCCTGGATTTCAGGTGTGCTGACTCCATCACGCATCCTTCATTGCAGTATCGTTTGATACTGGGGTTGGGATGGCAAGGTAGAAGTTAGTTGTTCACTACTCTAGATTGAGGTGTTGTGCTAGCCGCGACTGCGAGATGTTCTGGCGTCGCATGGCGTCGCTTGTTTCTCTTATTACCTAGGGTCCTTGGACCGCCTGCTGATTGTCACCGTCCATTATATGCCCTGCGCAGGCCAGTGATAGTCGAGGTCCTGACATACCCGAAGCTTCCTCAGAGCAGGGCAAGGGCGAGGCAGACCAAGCTCCTAGGCTTTTAAAAGAGAAAGGTGTTTTGCGGCATTAGCTTTACATGGTGGCACCACAATGCCGACCTTAGACCTGTTCAAATTTGAATTTTTGGCATGCTGCTGCGCGACTTGTGTGTGTGTGTGTGTGCGTGCTTTTTAAAATGACTTTCGCCACAAAGCTCAACAAGGCTGACGTTGGCACCAGCGAAGATGTGCAGCTGCCGATTCCGCGAGAGGACGATCCTGGATTTCAGGTGTGCTGACTCCATCACGCATCCTTTATTGCAGTATCGTTTGATACTGGGGTTGGGATGGCAAGGTAGAAGTTAGTTGTTCACTACTCTAGATTGAGGTGTTGTGCTAGCCGCGACTGCGAGATGTTCTGGCGGCGCATGGCGTCGCTTGTTTCTCTCATTACCTAGGGTCCTTGGACCGCCTGCTGATTGTCACCGTCCATTCTATGCCCTGCGCAGGCCAGTGATAGTCGAGGTCCTGACATACCCGACGCTTCCTCAGAGCAGGGCAAAGGCGAGACAGACCAAGCTCCTAGGCTTTTAAAAGAGAAAGGTGTTTGGCGGCATTAGCTTTACATGGTGGCACCACAATGCCGACCTTAGACATGTTCAAATTTGAATCTTTGGCATGATGCTACGCGAGTTGTTTGTGTGTGCGTGCTTTTTAAAATGACTTTCGCCACAAAGCTCAACAAGGCTGACGTTGGCACCAGCGAAGATGTGCAGCTGCCGATTCCGCGAGAGGACGATCCTGGATTTCAGGTGTGCTGACTCCATCACGCATCCTTTATTGCAGTATCGTTTGATACTGGGGTTGGGATGGCAAGGTAGAAGTTAGTTGTTCACTACTCTAGATTGAGGTGTTGTGCTAGCCGCGACTGCGAGATGTTCTGGCGTCGCATGGCGTCGCTTGTTTCTCTCATTACCTCCGCCTGCTGATTGTCACCGTCCATTCTATGCCCTGCGCAGGCCAGTGATAGTCGAGGTCCTGACATACCCGACGCTTCCTCAGAGCAGGGCAAGGGCGAGACAGACCAAGCTCCTAGACTTTTAAAAGAGAAAGGTGTTTTGCGGCATTAGCTTTACATGGTGGCATCACAATGCCGACCCTAGACCTGTTCAAATTTGAATCTTTGGCATGCTGCCGCGCGAGTTGTGTGTGTGTGTGTGCGTTCTTATTTAAATGATTTCGCCACAAAGCCTCAACAAGGCTGACGTTGGCACCAGCGAAGATGTGCAGCTGCCGATTCCCCGAGAGGACGATCCTGGATTTCAGGTGTGCTGACTCCATCACGCATCCTTCGTTGCAGTATCGTTTGATACTGGGGTTGGGGTGGCAAGGTAGAAGTTTTCACTACTCTAGATTGAGGTGTTGTGCTAGCCGCGACTGCGAGATGTTCTGGCGTCGCATGGCGTCGCTTGTTTCTCATTACCAAGCGGCCTTGGACCGCAGTGCTGCTTATCACCCGTCCATTCTGTGCCCTGCGCAGGCCAGTGATAGTCGAGGTCCTGACATACCCGAAGCTTCCTCAGAGCAGGGCAAGGGCGAGACAGACCAAGCTCCTAGGCTTTTAAAAGAGAATGGTGTTTGGCGGCATTAGCTTTACATGGTGGCACCACAATGCCGACCTTAGACATGTTCAGATTTGCTTTTTGGCATGCTGCTACGCGAGTTGTGTGTGTGTGCTTATTTAAATGACTTTTGCCACAAAGCTCAACAAGGCTGACGTTGGCACCAGCGAAGATGTGCAGCTGTCGATTCCGCGAGAGGACGATCCTGGATTTCAGGTGTGCTGACTCCATCACGCATCCTTTATTGCAGTATCGTTTGATACTGGGGTTGGGATGGCAAGGTAGAAGTTAGTTGTTCACTACTCTAGATTGAGGTGTTGTGCTAGCCGCGACTGCGAGATGTTCCGGCGTCGCATGGCGTCGCTTGTTTCTCTTTACCAAGGGGCCTTGGACCGCAGTGCTGCTTGTCACCCGTCCATTCTGTGCCCTGCGCAGGCCAGTGATAGTCGAGGTCCTGACATACCCGAAGCTTCGTCAGAGCAGGACCAAGCTCCTAGGCTTTCAACAGAAAATGAATGATGTTGTGTCCTTTTAAGGCTCTTGTTTGGCGGCATTAGCTTTACAATTTGCACGTTGAGGTCGCAGGACCTTTTAGTGGTTCTCTTCTGTCTCCTTGGTTTCTACTCGCTCCTGGGATTGGACTGGCAACGACATTGATGCATTTTCATCGATAGGTCATTTGGGATTTGCGAGGCTACGGGCATCGAGAGGGGAGAGCTGAGTCTGACTTGGCCCCACCAATAATAGAAGGATACCACTGCGAAGGGGAACAGTATTGCCCAGCATTTGCAGTACACCTGCCTGCCTGTAATAACCCACCCTGTCACTTGCATGTTTCAGCCAACAGTTTCATGTTCTTGCAAAGTATACGCGCAACATGTACGTAAGCTATTCTCAGCCGAATTATGCAAACTCGAGCGAAATGTGCTTGCGCAACCCGTGCTGGAAGCAATCCTCTAGCTTGAGCCCCCCCAGAGTTGTGGCTTTCAAAGCATCGGCTTATCGCCGGAGGCGGGCGGCGAAGATGTGCGGCTCACTGAGGGCGATCCTGGATCGCAGGCGTGGGATGAAGTTTGCCTGTTGTATGGCGAGCTCACTTGGGGTGGAACGAGCTTGCCAGGTATGCAGTTCCTTCATTAGGCCAAAAGTTTTGGAGTTGTCGCATTGGGAGATTGCCAGCAATCCAAAGGCACGGCCTAAATTGAGCCGAATATGTGTTTTGAGCCGATGCCTTCATTTGTTAGTTAGTTAGTTAGTTCTTTGTTGGTTTATTTGTGTACTTATTTGTTTATTTATCTATTTGTTTGTCCTTCCTTCCTTCCTTCCTTGCTTCCTTGCTTCCTTGCTTCCTTGCTTCCTTGCTTCCTTGCTTCCTTGCTTCCTTGCTTCCTTGCTTCCTTGCTTCCTTGCTTCCTTCCTTCCTTCCTTCCTTCCTTCCTTGGTTGAGTGGTTGGTGGGTGGGTGGGTTGGTTGGTTGGTTGGTTGCTCGGTCGGTCGGTCGGTCGGTCGGTCGGTCGGTCGGTCGGTCGGTCGGTTGGTCGGCAGCTGAATTCTTCCGTCATCGTGTACGTTTGTTCGTTAGTTCCCATGTTCATTCATATCCGTCCGTCCGTCCGTCCATCCATCCATCCATCCATGTTGTTCCACTGATTTGTGCGAGTATGTCGTCCTTTTTTAGTTCTTGTGTTTTTATTTTGTTTGTTTTCCGTTGTTTTTTTTTTTTGCTAAGTTTGCGTCATTTACTCCAGGCTTGCTGCAGTGCAATAAAACATCCATTCCCGTACCCACTTATACAACACGGCAACTTCCGTCCCTCATATTTGCGCGGGAGCTTTGCAGCACAGCGTTCGCCGCAAGGAGCTCAACACAATTCATGGCAAGTAACCGCACATGCTGTTGGATAGAACCCATGTGAGTCATAATCAAGGCTCAGACATAGCTCTACAGGGGTTTACGCGAAAGCCATATCCTCAAGCGGACGGAAAGCTGAAGCTATGTCTGGCAAAGGAACCCTCCCACGCTACTTGTAGCGGAGAACGGTGCAAGCAGTGCTTGATTTCCGCATCGCCCCTGTCAGGATGTGGATGTGGACAAAGAGCCACAGGAACCTGACCAGGCACAAGTGGGCTGGTCGGCATCCACAGCGATTTGCATGTCGGGCCCGTTCAGGGACACGGATCCCTGTGTTGGGGGGGTAATGGGCGTGCGGGGCAGGTTTGCGGTGCCGACCTTGACAAAGTGAATGGCACATATAATCTCAGTACTGGGGCATGTGATTGTTTAAGGTGAATCTGATAGCTGACTTTGCAGAAAGCCCACGCACCAGCTCTGCACCTACCTTCTTCTGATTTCTTCTGCCTTTGCACAGTAAGGCAGGCGCTGCTCTTTGGGCTAATCCATGCTAATCCCTTTCAGTGGAAGACTGGTTAAAACAAGCTCTCGGCACAGAATCACTGGGCGGGCTGCGGGATGCAACATGCCACTCCGCTGCCTTTTCGTGCTTCTTGTTTAAACTGAACGATCCCAATCTTTCAGCGGCTCGATGCAGTGCAGCAATCACGCTGCTGCTGTTCGGCTTTGTGGGCACCCACAGCCACGCAGAGATTTTACGCCCGCAGGAACCCACGTCGCCGCGACTTGGCTGCACCAGCTGGACGGCAAAACGGCCTGTGGCGGCCTGGGGGCTGCACAGGCCCGGAATGGCATGTGGCACAAAGCCCACAAACAAAACAATAACACCCAGCTCCAGATTTATAACTTAGCTAGGGTATTCACCACAGTGAAAAGTACAGTAACGGTTTGCGCACGAATCAACGAATTGGCGGTTTCTCCTCCAGCAGTTTGCAATGTTGGACAGTTTTCGTTCAGCTTGGCACCATAGTGCCGTCATTCAATCAGCGACGAGCTTTGCCAAGGTTGGGCGAGGCTGGCGGACCAAATCAGGCAAGAAGGGCTGGGGCCACCTCGCGGCACGGCTGTTGCAAGCTGAGATGTTGGCTTCCCACGGTCAGGACAACTTGGTCAGGGCTGCCTGTTGAGCCCATTTAAACATCACCTACTGGGCCGCTGTGTGGCTTTTTGTGTTGGGATATAGCCAAGAATAAGAAGGAGGATATGTTTCACGCGGTTTCTTTCGCTTGGCCACGGGTGAGCATTTGTGCTTGGGAGCCGGCTTTCTATATTTATTTGACTTCTTGTTCTTGAACGACACATTGACATGCATGTGGAAGTGGCATTGTGCTGCAATCTGAGTGGAACGTGTGGCCATCTTGAGGTCATGTTAGGGTTTGTTTCGCATAATGCCACCTGTGTCACTGTGTGTACTGACAAGCTTGGAAAGTCTGATGACGTTTGAGTGTAACCGTTTTCAACTGATTTTCTTGTGCAGTTGGCGATCTGTTGGCAAGTGCCTTCTGGGCAGCTGAGACTCATTAGGCCCGAGGGGGACAGAGTTGCTTCCCTTTCGCCTGCCTACCATGGCGCGGTGGGAGCTTGTCCAGAAATGCCCGACTGAGTTCCTGGAAGCAAGCCTCCTGTGCACCCCGCACGCCTCAGCCAGGCCCACATGCAGAAGGAATGCGATCAGATCAGCATCTTGGATGGTATGTCAAGGAAGCAAGTGGCTCTTTTGCTTTGGCTTGGCTTAGCCTAGCTCTTGCTTGGCCACTTCCAAGCTATCCCGCCCTATTGCTTTAGCGGCATGGTGTGCCTGGCGTTGAGCGTGGCGCCAAGCTGTTGAACTTCTTCACTACTTCACACAAGGCTCATGTGGCAGGGACGGGAAGTTTCCCGAAGGCTTCAGTTCACTCATGATGGCCAAGTCCTGAAACTCGAAACCCTACAGCTGGCTCATGAGAAGCTGCAAAACGGTATGGCAAGTTAACGGACTTTTGTGCGGCGTTTGTCTGCACGCCAGCTGGCCTCAGTTTGCCAATGCTCATTTTCAGTTTGTCGTCAAGGTTGGAAACTGCTTGGGATTCAGCACTTTCGCAGTTGGTTTGCATGTACGGCGGATGGAGAAGCTGCAAATCTGCGAAAATGCCTATGCAAAATGTTATGAACTCACCTCTTCTCCACAAGTCAGTGTATGAACAATCACCAATTTCTACATACGCAGACAAAGCAACATTGCTCTCGTGCTTCTTGCTGCGCGCATGACCTCCTGCTACTTGTTGCGCGCATGCCCTCGTGCTTCTTGCTCAGCGTGTGCTCTCGTGCTCTCATGCTACTTGCTCGGCATGTGCTCTAGCGCATCTTGCTTTGCGTGTACGCTCGTGCTACTTGCTCTGCTGCGCGCTTGCGCAGCTAGCTCTACATGTGGTCTCCTGCGTCTTGCTTTGGGTGTTGCCAAGGGCTGGGAAAAGGGGGGCGACTTTACAGGACAACCCTTCGCAATGCTGTCGGCAAGAAGGAAGAAGCATCGAGTAGCCAACATAGCCAACGCCAAGACATGACGTCATCATTGCATCCTCCCTTCCTCCCCTCCTGGCCAAGTCAAACATGCCGCATCTGTGATCGGGCAATTGCGGAGCATATTTGCTCGGGACTGCCCTGGGCTTATTTGCTTACGCCAGCTTAAGATTTTGAATTTATAGGGCTCATCCATCGCCCAACTGGCCTGGTGCAGATTTGTCCATTGACAGTAGGAGCCCGAGGTAGCTCTGATGCAGAGGGTTTTAGAAATCGGCTAGCAATCGATACCAGACCCCTCATGCAAGTGAAGATATGTGAAGCATTCGTCATTGCGAAGGCCTTTTGCTGGGCAATTCCCGCATCTCGCACTCGTGAGGCAACGGCAGCCGGGAGACAGTTGCAAGCGAGGCTGGGGATTGCAGGTGTCCAGTGACAAGTCTTTCAACGCATCGCCAGGGCCACTGGGAGCCAAAGTGCGATGCATGGAGCTGTCTCTTGGCTCAGTCGTTGCGAACTCGCGAGCCGATGGATTGTTCCGTGAGGTATGGCTCCTTTTGGGTTGTAAAAGTGAGGGACTTTTTCGCGTACTCCCTTCAAGCAGCAGCCTTAAAGGGCCATACTTCTGAACCTCACGTTGGTCCTTGAGTTGCAAGTTCAGATAGGAAACGGAGCTTACGCTCCTGCTTGTTTCGAGAGGTTGGTGACTTCAGGCCCTACTACAAATGGGATTGACTCTCAACGAGGAGGATCACTGGCAAAAGGGGATAAAGAGTTCTGGAAGCAAGAAGCTGGTGCAACATGCCCGTGACTTGTTTGGGTGCAGGGCGACTGGCTCAACTCCCTTTCGGGACAACAGCTAGTAGATGCACTCTATGTGGCGTCTATGTTGCATGTGGACTGATTTGGCCAAGAAAGCTGCTCTGAGGAACATCCAATTCGAAGGCATGGGGCCGGGTCGTGGGGCAGATTCATCCGGGACTCCTATCATCCTGTCCTAGGTCATCAGTGCGGCCTTGTCAACGAAGTGAGCCCAGATATTTGTGCACCTTGGCTGCAGCAATAAGCTAGATGAGTTGCACGCACAGAATCAGCTTGTCAGCTTTTGGTTGGCACGTTTGCAACAAGCGCTTGGATGTGCAACCTCACGGAATATTAGAGAATCATTGGTTGCGGGCAGGCGTGTGTTTGTGTTTATGTTTGTTTTGTTGGTTGAGGTGGAGGCGGGGGTGGTAACGGTGGCGGCGGCAAAGAGCGTTTTGTCAAGCTTGCTGGCTGTGCTGTGCGGTGGTCGTTTGGCTTACCGTACCGCCTCAGCTGTGCAGCAATATTTGGTGCACTGCCCGTCAGGTAGGTTATTTGTAGCCTCTGAGTCTGGACGACCCCCTCCTTTGTACATAGGCCATTTTGGGCTGTGCCCACATACCCACTGACCGGGTTCGCAGCGAACTTGGCGCGTACCAATCAGGTGCTGTGCGAGCGGCCCCGGGAGAGGCGCCGCGGGAGCCTGGAGAAGCTGGCAGGGTCGGCGAGGCCGGGACCTTCGTTGAGGTGGAAAGCAAAACGATCCAATCAGGAGTCGAATCAGGAGAGACATTCGGGGGCCCCTCCAGATCCCCGAGCCCTTTGATCAGAACCGAGACTGTCGGTGGTTGGGGGGTTCCGGGGGGAGTGGGGGGGCAGGGGGGTTGCCTTTGGATTCCTCCCTCACCGACTCAGGTGTTTTCCTCGCCCAAGGTTCCACACGTTGCCGCCTTGCAGGATAGCTCTGAAGCTTACCTTTTTGGGTGATGTTGTTGTCCGGCAGGAAGCAAGCAAGATTTGCTGGCTGTTGTCGCAGTCTCTATATTTAGGATGCAAAAGTCAATGGAGGGTGGCCTGCATCGAATGCGGTTCTCCTGTTGTCCTCAGTGATTGTTGCTCGGGATGGTCATGAAGCTTGCGGGCAAGTGTTTTGTTTTGCTGGTGGCGATGCCCCTCTAAACAGGCGGGTGCTCGTCATCAGGGTAGGATGGGTATGGATGGGTAGCAGTAGCAATCAAGTCCCCACGCATGCTTCTTACAGCAACGCCTTTTTCGTTTGTCTTCTTCCTCCTCTTCTTCTTTTTCTTATCTGACTTTCTTCTTCTTCTTCTGCTTCTTCCTCTTGTCTTCTCTTCCCTGTCTTCTTCTTATGGCATAACGAGGCTGTGTTTCTTGCCTGGTGCCAGCCAGAGCAAATGCTTGTGTGCATTTGCAAGCACCAGGCGGCATGTTGCGACATTGCACTCAAAGCAGCAAAGCACCTCAAGGATGCCGTGCGATGAAACGTGCCCGCGCTCAATCTTCCAACCCACATGGTAGTACAATTGACTCCCGAATTGTTGCAAGCGGTGAAGAAAGGACACCCAGTCGCCGACCACGGCTAGCACTATAATTGGAATCATCCATATCAATCATCCCACGCTGCATGTTCCACTTCAGAGATGCGACTTCCAGGCCTCGCCAGCGCTGAAGGCGCCGCCAATGATTCTCCAATGCGCAGGGCTTCGACCAAGAAGGTGGGGTGAAAGACCTGAAAGATCCTGAAAGAAGTGGATAGAGGCGAACATTCCAAGCATCGAAACCAGATGAGACGCAGAGTTCAAAAAGTCGTGCTCAGTATCGTGGATAAACTTTGGTTGCGATGCTTGCAGCTTCGTGTACGCAAGCTTCGTCGTTTGGGGGATGATCTGCAAATTCCGCAAAGAGTTTTGGGAGGCTTGCTGCAAAGCAGGTTGGAGAGCGGGGTTGCAGACTCAACCAGCTTTCTGTGTGCAGGCCTGTGTGCTGCTGGTGCCCCAGCCGGCACAGCCCGTGAATTCGGCTGAGGTCACACTCGTTTTTTTGTTTTGTTTTTGCCTTGGAGATAACCACCACCATCACAAGATCATCACTCAGCACATGGCAAGCTTATTCCCGCGGGAGACGGTCAAGCAGGGTTCAACACAAGTTGCATTTGCATGTTGCACACTACCCACGTACAGTATTTGCAAGCTTGATTTTTACGTAATTCATGCAGAGTCAATGCTGCCGCGTTCTGACTTATTTTCCATGGCCACGCTTTGTTTCGGATCTTGTTTCAGCGCTTATGCTGAATCCATCCAGTTGTTTGTTCAATCCAATCCGAGTGCCATCGACTACTTTCATTTGCGTTCCAGGGCGTTCCATTCCCCCTCGCCCAAGCTGATAATGACTGCCACGCATTGTCGCGGATGTGGAATGAATCTGTCCAAGGAAGGGTACAATTTACCAGAGGCTTAAATAGGGCTAAGCAAACGTGTAAATTTCACGTTTCCTTAGTTCGGGACGAACTCAAACGTGCAAAACATATCCATAACTCCATGCCCCCTATACTCTGTTTTTTACCGCCCACAGGGCCTTGGGAGGCGAGTGTTGCGAGGCCTTGCTCTGGCCAGTCTTAGTCAGAAGCACTGTGTTGGCCACCTGCTGATGTCAACTTGCCCAGCGTTTCAGCAGCGGAGACCTCAAGCAGCCTCAAATGACCCCAAAAGATCCCAAAAGCTCACCACAGCACGCGCGACTCGGCGTTGAAACCTGGGCGAGCAGCTTGGCGTGTACAGCAAGCCGAGCCTGGACGAGGACCAGTGCCCTCGCAGGTCTCACCAGAAAAAAAGAGAGGGCGAAGCTGGGTGTTCGTGTGATTGACTGCGCCCTTTCATGGGTTTAAGGTGATCGGAAAACGTATTTTGCAGGGTATCCATGTAGGGCACCCTGAGAGGTTATTTGACTCCGTCGCCCCACAGCACCCTAAGCTCTGGAAGAGGCTTCAAGCTGACACCTGGTGTGAAGTGAGACGGTGAAATCAAAAGCTGTAAGCATCGGGTCTGCTAATTGCGAGCCAGCCATGCTGGGCATAATTCCGAGGTTCCATGTGGCTGGCCCACCAACTAACCACCAAGACTTGTGTTTCGTTCTTTGGACCCACTACACGTGGTTTGACTTGCAAAGGTCAGGTGGTCCATTGCTTTATTTTTCTGAAGCCATCGAAGTCATTTGATCTTTACATATAATGCATGCGTTCGCAAGCTGCTTAGAGAGCCAGAAAGGTGACACAACGCAAATAGGATGTTTCTTTTGAGGGGGTGCCTGAAAACTTCCCTGCTTGGTTTCTATCAATCACGGACTTAAGCACGGAGGTCACCTTAACGCAAAGGTGTCTTCCCACATTTGGCTGTGTATCGTTTGGGGGAATCCTTCGCGGCTTGCCTTAGTGGGAAAACACACAATAAAAGGGAAGCAGTTTGGGGTCCCTTGAATTCTTTGAGACATGCCCGTCTTTCTGTCAGCTTCAACAAAATCGCTGCTGCCAATTCGCTGCTGCACCATTTTTGCGATTTGCTTAGGCTGCAAGCCTGCGCCGCGGGTGTTCGCGCAGCAGACCCAGAGTCGCGAGGGGTTGCGCGTGTCAGTCTCTCAAGAGTTGTTTGCCAATTTCTTTGCGCTCACCTTGGGGGTCAAGCGATCTTAGGTCGTTTATTTGGGGATCCCTTGGAATTATTGCATGTGTGCAGAATTTGAGGGAGTGATGACACGCACACAGATTATATACGTGTAAACGTTTCGCTCCTGTAGTTCAAAAGCACCAGCTTGAGCACTTACTTGTCAAGTAAAGAATTCAACAGAGATTGGCAGAAGAAGACAGAGATTGGCAGACCTCGTAGTTTCAGGAAACCTCCTTGGGTTGACCTAGGTTGAACCAGTGATTGCATTTTGTAGTTGGCTTAGACAAGGGGGGACATTTATTTGGAGGTTCGAAAGCGCGAAGGCAGTCCAGAAGGTCAATGTATGCGAGAAGGATTGAAAAGACATGTTTGATGTGGATGTTCCACGCAGGCTGGATAGAAGACTTGCGCTTGGCATGAATGCCGCCAAGGTCATGCACATTTTGCCTCAGTCTGCTCAAGCTCAGCGGGACGGAGCACGGATCTCAGCTGCCCCGTGACCCACGTCACTCACGGGACCCTGGCACCCGGCTGCAGAGATGTTAGCGGGGTGAGCGGAACTCAGGGCAAACCAATGAAAAACCAGGGACGTCAGGTTCTGTGGCAATGTGGAAGCGTACCCCTTTTCCCACCAATGAAGTGGGCAGCTGCCCAAGAGGCCTGTCTTCCAAAGCCTTCTTAGCTTCCCTGATTGGGATGGATGTTTGCCCTTCGGCGCGCCCCTAACTTGTTAATCAGTGCGGCTGTGTTTATTTTTGGTTGCTTAGTGGGGCTTCTGTTACGGACCCCCCTGAACCAACATCTTGTGTATGGCCGCCGATCTAGCTGCATGGGGCTGAGGCCATTCTTCTCTCGGAGCTCGCCAGCAAGGCCCAGCTTTCTGCCTAGCTTCTTGCAAGCCGACAGCGACATTCGCTGTGGCTGGACGAAATCCGTTCGCACCAGCTATGAAACCATGGTTGAACGGTGCAGGATTTCGTCCATCCACAGTATGTCCCTACAATTTGCCTTCCTTGCTTTGCGGGCGCAGAGGCATCACGTTTTGGAAAGGCCGAGGTTCGTGGCAGCCAGCGTTGGGCATCCCTCCACCTGAAAGGTCCCTGCTGGAAATCATGATGTTTCGGAATGCGGCAACTCCACGAACTCGGTAACGCCTTTTTTGCACCAAGGAGGGGCTTTCCCCACCCACATTGAGCCTACCACCGCGTGACGTGTTCATACCATATATGCAGAAACAGTGGTAGACTCAGTCCTGCCAGAGCAAATGAAAGGCACCTGTCATAGGTTTGTTGCATTTGTCGTGCTTGGTGTTCTCCCTAACCCTCGTTGCATCATGCGTGTGCGGAACTCTGCCAATTGCTTCTGGCTGCAGAGGACGCAGCTTCCAAAGAAGATGTGGCGGCCAGGGGTGGCGTGCTCTTGGCTGCCTGGATGCCAAGTATAACCAGCCAGCAGCAGGCCGTCAACCCGGCGCCAAACCGCAAATTGTGATTGCGCGAATGAAGGGGAAAGTGTGCACGACAGAACGGCTAGCATGGCTAGCCTTT